ACATATATATGTATATATAGTATATTAAATTCTATGTCTCCAATCTTTGAAACCAGGATTTCAAGAGAATGACATTACAGTTCTCAGCATGGGGGTTTAGCCGTAAACACCAAACATGTGAATGAAGCGTTAAAATCAATAATGAATAACAGACTGTTCAGATGACAGTGTTTACTTGACTCGTGTATTAAATGCTTCATTCATGTTACTGTTCAATAATGACAGCATTAAAACCCACTCCTCTGGGTAAAAATGTAAGAAGTGAACATTTCTAATCATATACACAGTACGTCGTGTGACTGAGGTCGTCAGAGTTGGCGTCAGAGTTGGTGTCAGAGTTGGCGTCAGAGTTGGTGTCAGAGTTGGTGTCAGAGTTGGCGTCAGAGTTGGTGTCAGAGTTAGCGTCAGAGTTGGTGTCAGAGTTGGCGTCAGAGTTGGTGTCAGAGTTGGCGTCAGAGTTGGTGTGAACTTGGCCTGTTCTGTCTGTGACTTTCCCGAGGTGATTGCAATCAGTAAAATATTGCTGTTGTCATCATCACAGCCACACGATCTGAATACACAAAGATGTTGAGTTTCTGCTCATGTACAGAGCAGTAAATAATAAAAGCTAGATTGAAAGAACCAACTGTGGCCACTGTGAGGCGCTTCACAACGCACAGGGTCAGAATGACACAAGTAAATGGATATGACTGGATTCTATTTTAATGAAGTAAATAAGTAAAAAATAATTCCAGTGTCTCAACGCTGACCAGTACCACATGACCTATGGACAGGTACTGGTCCGCGAACCTGGGGTTGGGAACCCCCAGGTTAGAGGACATTTGTAGCTGCTTGTTGCTGCAAAACAATCCTTTTCACACAGACTAACAGAACCAGAAAACAAAATATATTTTGTTTAATCACACACACATTCACACAGATGATCAGTTTACAGTGATTGATCAACCTCATCCTGCCTGGGTTTTGACTGGGGGGGGGGGTCCAGAGAACTCCTGCACAACATGCAAACTAGTCCATCAGTTACCAGCAGGGATTGAACCAGTGACTTTCTTGCTTTAGGGCCAGAACACTCATCAACACTCAGCCACCATAACCACTCATCATCAAAGGAAAACAAAGGAAACAACAGTAGAACTTCAACATGGCCGCCGGACCGACATCAGTCAACACAGAGAAATACAGAGACTTGATGAAACTCTCAGACTCTACGTAACAGACCAGATCCAAATTCATTGTCCACGACACTAATGCATTTTGGCATTTAATGACTTTATTCATGCTCCACTCCACATGACTTTACAACAGCCGTTTATCAACACTGTGCACCCAGTCCTCCAGACTCAAACGATACAAAATGTCATGCTCAACATTGGACAAAGCACAAACACATGAGGTCACCGTGTACAGTGATGTCACCAGAGTTGTCCTTTTCGTCCTCTGACATGTTGTGCTACATTAAGACTGAAACCTGACAGTTTAGTGCTGTGTGTCCGCCGTCTGTTTCAGTCACACAATGACAATAATATTAACAATAATAATAATAATGAGTATTTGCATCTGTTAGCACAAATAGAGAGAATTCACATTTTTGAAAAAAAAAAAAAACTTTTAGCTCACTTATTCTGAAATGTACCAGGAATGTGCAATTTGTTCAAATAAAGTGTTTTCTGGTTTTTACCATCTGTAAGTACAATGTCAACAACGGCTCAGGGCAAAGACGACTGTGCTGCAATCTAGGACCTAGGACAGTGAAGGCATCGTTAGCTTTTTTTTTCCTGCCTTGACTGGTTATTTTAGCGCCACCTAAAACAGGCAGGTAGCTGTAGAGTAATGTCTCCACAGAAACTGCAGCTCCAGGGTCTGGAAATGTTACAAGGACCTTACGAAAGTTTAATAAACCAACCACTTGGTAGCCTCCAGTAGGGCATGAAAAAAAAAACAAAAAAACAAAGGAAATACTCAGTAATACTCTCAGTAAAATAAAAAGTGCAGTCTTTAACATTTCTCCTCTGGTCCTGGACCTTTAACACTTAAAATAAAAAGACAGATGAGGATTAATGTGCATTTCCTCCACAGTCGTCTTCTCACAAGGTAGTTTATATTTACAGAACACCCACGGGTTAAATCATAATCCTATAAATAAATGTTAGTCTAGCCATGATGTGTGAAGACTTGGTTCTGGATTAATTTTGTTTTGTTTTTTTCTAATACCCTGCTTCATCATGTACCAGGAGACACTTCTGTTCACACAGAAACACAAAACTAACCAAAGGTGCGGTCACACCCAGGATCGTCACCTGGTGTTCTGCAGAGTTACGTCTTCGCTCACACCTCGTCCTGTTTGCGCTCAGTCATCCGGGCACAGCGTGGGCACGTCGTGGAGTTGTCGTAGTAGCAGTCTCTGAAGTCAAACAACAAACAAACATGAAGACACATGACGTAGGGTTTGTCCACAGGTACAACTGAGCATTTCACCCGTGGACACCGTATAAAGCAGTGACCATCAACCTGCAGCTCACGGGCCGAACCTGGCCCACCAAACCTTCCAATCCGGCCCGCGACTGGATTCAAAAATAAACATCAAATAATAACATTAGAAGAAAAAATTGACATTGACTTTGACCCACCTGTGGAAAACGGCCGCACATTCGTGGCAGACGGAGGTGTGACTGTCAAACGGGAAGAGGATGTCGCCCTCCTTACACAGCTCGCACACAAACCCTTTGGCCTGGCAACGCTACACACACGCACAGAAACACAAACAAATAATATTGTCTCTCTTCAAAAAGAGATCGTTAATTTTAATGCCTTCAAACCAGGTAAGTGGTAACAACAAAGTGTGAACTCACCTCACAGTCCAGTTTGATGTGTTTGGCAAAAGTGGTGTGGATCTCAGTGAGGGAGCAGCTGAGGCGGCCGCTGGAGATGTCGATCAGATCCTGTAGTGAGTACATGTCGTCGTTCTCCACAAAGTGCTGCCGATCCTGAAGCTGCAGAGAGAGAACTAAACCGTCAACAGCAGAAATATTCCTAAATGTTCCTCCTTCAATCCCACTGAATCTAAGAGACAACCTCAACAACTTTAACCTTTTTATTTCACTTCTCACAAGTCTGATATTCAAAGTGATTGTAGATTTTCTTGATTCAGGAATAGCTCTTCTCTTCTACCACACGGTGGCACTGATGTGACACCTGATCAACTACTGCAGCAGCAGCTCAGTAACACTGTGCTGTAGATGACAGTAAAGTTGGTCACTGCCGACCTGTAACAGCAGCCGCGCCTCCATCGCTTCTTTACAGGTGATAAAATATGGTTTCATCAGCAGGATGTCCTGACGAAGTTTCTGTGGAGAGAAAAATTGCAGCACCTAATAATTTTTCCTCGTTTTCGGTATTTGTGAAAATACTGTATTATTGTATTTTTCAACTGATGTCTATACAATGACATTTCCACAACTCGGCTTTAAATTTTGCATTAAAATACTTCATGTCTTGCTAAATAAGTTAAACAAAAATGCAGTATTATTTTCTCTGCAGCCTAAAATAGATGCTTCTATCCCAAATACCTGCACTGAAACTAAAGGAGGAAGTATTTCAAATGAAACGGACGAAAACTCTAACAGTTACTGAGGCTCCGTCAAATGTTTAGTCACTTTACTTTGGTTCAAAGATAGAGACCTGAGCTGTAAATAAGGTAAGTTTAAAGTAGGAAACCAATCTGGTCAACAAACACTGTGGTTAATCTGATTCAAATTTTCAGTTTTGAAAACACATGTAAGTTGAATTTATTCATTGTGAACCTTCTCACCCTGATCTCCACTAGTTCTTCCACAAAGTTGAAGAGCAGAGGGTTGATCTCCTTCAGCTTCAACACGGGCCGTGACATCATCAGGGCCAAGTAGCGTAATGAGGAGCGACAGACCTACAAAAAAAATGGAGACACACAGAACGCTGCATGAACTGGACCGGTCTAAACGTCACCTGCTAATCTGACAACGTCAGCCACTGTAACATGCTTCTTTACAACCTAACAAATTAGTCGAATTCTCATTACAATTTTCTGATTAATCTTCAGAGTTTATTGACAAACGAAGGCTGTGCGTGCTGTGATTCACACACACTCACTAAGATTTATCACTGCCGTAATTAAATTCTAAACATAGAGAAACTCTTTAGGAATTTCAAGTAAAAACAAATGTGTCTTTTCAGATGATCTACGGTAAAACCATTAGTTAAACATTTGAAGAATTTAAGAGTCTAATTAGAGGCGTCTCCCTTTCTCCAACACTGACATGAATGTCCCAGCTTTACTTCTTTTAGTGCACACCTGTGGTGAATGTTTTTCATGCTAAAGTGAAAGTTCGTACGTTTTTACCTTGCGCGGTTCAAACTCCCAGTTGTGGATGACACGAGCTGGAACGATGGCCGTGTCATTCCAGTGACACGCGGTGCAGTAATACTGGCCAGTGTAGTCACACTGCCTGGCCTCACTTGGAACGCCCCCTACAACACAAAAGGCACTTAGTCTGGTCCATCAGTCGGTGGTGGCTTAGTGGTTAAGGAAGATGACTTGGGTCTGGAAGGTTTCAGGTTCAAATCCACCCGCTGCCAAGTTGTGTCACAATGACAAGGAGTTCACTTTCCTTTATTTGGGCTAGTTAAGACTAGTTTTTGTTGAGTTTGGTTAAGTAAAAAAAAAAAGTTATTGAATGTTCACTATGGTGATGGGTTAAAAACAGAGGTCACATTTGGTTGTGTGCTGTGTCACAATGACAAGGAGTTCACTTTCCTTTATTTGGGCTAGTTAAGATTAGTTAAGACTAGTTTTTGTTGAATTTGGTTAAGTAAAAAAAAAAAGTTATTTAAGTGGTAAATTTGCATTTCGTAAATTTTCTTTAGAAAGAAAAATGTGGAAGAATGAAGTAAAAAGGAATGAAGGCTGAAGACATCATTTACAGGAAATGAGGAAATGAGTTGGGAAACGTGATACTTGAGATTTGTAGAGATTTGCTGTGTGTGATAATTAGGTAGTGAACCAGATCACATCGACCAGGTCTGCAGGTTTGATTCTGTTTCCTGGATTTTTTTTTTCATTTTTTTTACCATTCATACTCACTCAGTGAAATGGCTGTACGACACTCGGCACAACGATAGTCCTGTTTGTCCAGTCCGATCTCAGGGCAGATGCTGAGTTCGTACTCCGACTGGTGGCTGACCTTTGACCTCACACAGGGCTTTGTGATCAGGTTCATACACTTGCTGTGACAGCGGTAATAACAACCTAGGAGGGGAAAGGAACAAAGTTAACTTTAATAAACTACAATGAATACGGTCTGGATGGTTTCTGTAAAAAAATAAAAATAAAAAAAGGTAAAGAGAAGATTTTAGTTTTGTCACCAAGAGTGACATTTAACCTCGAGCTAACAGTGATGAGAAAAGACCTGCAGTTGTACACCTTAGCTATTCTGATAATACTGGTGAGATCCTCACCTGTGCAGGTGTACCACGTCTGGATCAGGCCCCAGATGATGGCGCTACACTTGTCACACGTCTGTTTCACGCTCTTGCTTTTCTCCTTGGAGAAGCGATGTTCCAGAAGAACCCTTAAGTTAGGTTCATCTTCCTCAGGGTCCTATGAAAAAAAGTATAGAGTAAAATATATATATATAATTTGTGCAGTAGCTTCATATGTAAATGATTTGTAAAAACAAGGTGTATTGTGTGTATTTTAAAGGGAATTACATGGGTTTTTTTTTTACCACACATCCTTATTATTATCCATATTTGCAGACACCATTTGTGTCTGCACTTGTACATGTATGTAATAAAATAAGGGCTGCTCTGAGATAAACAGTTCACAGTAGGATGACACTCAGCTGCTTCACATTATGTGGTTCAACATCACTGTCAAAAACAGAAAAAAAAAAGAAAAAACTAACAGGGAACACTAAGTGATTGGATGCGATTGAATAATGAACATGTGTATGGTTAGTGACATCAATGTGACCTGACTCATGACAATGAGTCAGGTCATAGTGAAAATTCTGGTATTTTTTAAAGTTATTAGTCTGACACTTAGTCATAATTCTGCCCAGAAACTTTCATCAAAAAAGGGAGAGATTTTTACAAAGACAGTGATTTAGAAACAGAAGTTAAAAGTTAGGTGTGACAAATCAATACTAACAACTGCACAGAAGCACACAGACAAACAAGCCTTACATAAAAAAAGTGATTCTTACTTTGTAAGTACAAGAAATATTTCTTTATCACATCACAAAAAATAAACAAGTTCTCTTTACTTCTTTACCAACACAGTATCATCTCTATTTGGCCTCACAGAAACACTGAATGGTGTCACTTGTTCTACCTTCACGTAACAAAGTGAAGGTTGTAACAGAGTCTTTGTAAAGTAGGAACTTTAGCACTAGTTAAAACGAACCGCCCTGTCACGTCCACCAGACTGTGACTTCGGTCTACGATCAGATCATCCAGGGGGCAGCACAGAGCCCTGACAAAAACTAGTATCTGAAGAACTGCTTTTCTGTTTATTGGAACACTGAGTCAAAGACACACATCAGGCTTCAGACACAGTCGTTGCCTTTAATCTTTGCTAATTTTATGAGCAACCGGAGCAGCACCTAATGATTAGAGCAAAGTAAATACAATCTAGACGTAGACTGTCGTGCTGCCCTGCACTTTATGAGGCCGATTTGATGTTAGCCGGGCATCTGATCAGAAGTGGAAGCCTCCACAAACACTCGCTGCGTGTCGAGACGGTAATTTAAGTTTCCACTGTGTGTGAAAACAAGTGTAGCAACAGTGAGTGAATAATAATTCCACTGGAATTATTATTATGTAATGTACACCTAGTTCTGGCCGCGTCTTTAAACGCCTTCATCTTGCTCACCTTCCACTGCCTTATCTTTTGGGGTCACAGGAAAAGCTGGGAGTCATCGGTAATGACTGGGGAAGGGGGAAGTACCAAGTGCACACCCCCACACACACACACACACACAAAGACATAATTGGTGGCAATAAAGTATGGGTCAGTACACCATCACATGATCAGTTCTAACCTTGAGCTCCTGCAGTTTAAGACGAAGGTGTATTAGTTTCACCACCGTGTCCTTTTGTCTCTCCGAATGTTCCGGCAGCTCCAAGATCAGTTTCTTACACTCCTCAATGGCCAGTTTTAGCTGTTCTATGTCAGACGCCACAAAAGAACCCTGACAACAAATTTAAAAAAAAGCAAAATTACAATCAAAACATGTGGCAATACACGATATAGCTGTTTTGCTGTATCTTGGTAAGGGTTCATGTTTGAACAGCTGAGTATCATCAGCAAAAAGGCAAAACAAAATGACAATAATTACAGATATTGCATTTCATTTTCGACCTGTACCACTAGTGTAGAAACTAGTGTAACCTGTACGATCTGTACCACTAGTGTAGAAACTAGTGTAGTTTACACTGGTTGGTTTTTGTGATTGTTTAGTGATATATTTCTGAATATTTAGTGACATCTAATAGTTGGTAGAGGAAGACATTATATTACACTAAAAGAACGAACATACGGAAGGGAACAGAAACAGAGCTTTTCTCACCATGGGCCGAGAGAAGTGATCTTCAGCTAGACCCAGATCCATGGCACGGTCTGTGCTGTTGGTTCTGCTCCCAGAGAACAGCTCAGGTCTGGGTTCTAGAAAACAGCATAAAACAAAACATACATTGCAACTGTTCTTTAAAATAAAATAAAATAAATAGAACACATTCTGTGGTTCCAGTCAAGCTAATTCTACACCGACTGAGTGAATTCCAAATATTCCTGACTCACCGCACAAGACGTCTCAAAGAAGAACAAATGTGAAAATGAAAAACCTGAAGGAATTATAATGACTTTTCTCAGCTCTGCTAATGTGTAACTGAGACAGCTGATGGATGGAACGACCTTTGAAATGTTCTCTCCTGCTGGTCTTGGGATGCTTTAACCTTTTTACAGCAGAGCTCAAAGTCTATTTCGCTGTGAAAGACAAACAGAGTTTTTTGTTTTGCTAATTAAATTTTTAATGTCATTTTTAAAGTGCCTCGGAGCATTGTACTGAAGAGGGGTAAATCTATTATTTAGAGAGTGCTCCTCAGATTGGAATGTACAGTGATGCTAATATATAACATATCAATTTTAAGCTTATTGAACTGACACACACACACATATATATATATATATATATACATACACTATCTTGTTGAGAAGGCAAAGGATAATAATATAATTTGGATTCTTCTTCTTTATGCCTACATTGTTTTCAATACATTCATAACAGTGAACAATCATAACAGACACGCTTCAGTCCAGTGTAACTTAACAGCCAGTTTTTTCATAAATACATTTGCACAGTATAATGGCAAAGAATCTGGGTGTGGCTCAAGAGCCTATGTACTCCATAGTACGCAGTCAACTCAAGTCTTTCTATCAGATACAGTACATCAGTTAAAACAAACAGGTCGAAGAATTATACGAGACAGCAACGACAACAACAACAATTCAGTCAAACAAACATCCTTCTCACCATCGTTGTCAATACCAACAAACACCTCGGCAGCAAACATGAGGACTGACTTCAGCTTCAAGCACCAAATCAACTCAGCTGACAGTGCGTCTGACTGGCTTGCAAATGGACTATGATTGAATATCAACTTCTGTAATTCCTAAATCCTTATAATATAAAAGAGAAGTGATGGTTAAGTGCACTTAAGTGTTTCATTTCCTGTAGTTTTGCACAGCATCATCAACTTCTCTTTGAAAGAGAGTAATGTTGTTAACATGTCCTTTGTCCCTATGGATCACAGTGAGTCAGTAAGGGAGAGTCAAGAGAGGACGTCCAAAAAAAACACATCCTACTACAGCACTGACTGATAAGTTTTGTATTCATTTTTTAAAAATATTTTTATTAAATATTATATAGAGAAAGTATATATATGTATTATATAGTGAGTATTTATTATACATACATACAGTCTATATATTGATTAATTACTTGATATATTTAATATAAAGGTTTTAACGAAGTTAAAATATGTCAATTCATCGTCTCCTCAGATATTAATTTTGTATTTTATTTAGCCTTTTTTTCGATGCTACAGTGTGTCCTCTATAAACAACAGAATGAAAAAATATAGTATTATATAGTGCAGCAGAAAAAAGACCAGTTGCATTTGAGTCAAAAACGCAACTCGACTTTAAAATCAAAAGCATATGCTCCAAATATATTCTCTGAAGGAATCCATATGTCAACCAAACACAAAAGCTGTGACATGTGGAGGTGTGATACACTTTACCATGTCGTGGCGGAGTCTTCCCCCCTTGGGGACCATCTTCTTCGTCACTGCGATCAAAGGGGTTGAGGCGGGTTTGGCGAAAATTAGCAAGTCTCTCACCGTACTCCATTGTACTGTCTACATCTGTGTACAAAATGAGTCTGTTTTATTGAAGTGAGACTGATACTGTAGTACTGACATCAACGTCACCACATGATTCACAAGTACTCAAAAAGTACAAGAGCAGAGTGAGAAAACTGATTTTTTTTTTCCAAGATATCTGGCAACCAGCACAAATTTGGAAGGTTTCAAACAATTAATGTATGTTCTTGTTTTTTTTATTTATAAAAGCAGTAATGGGACAAAATTAAACTCATTTATGTGTTTGTGAAAACAAACAAACGAAACAAATAAAAGAAAAGAAAATATTTCTGGCATCGTGGGTTTCAAATATTTGACTATTATTGTTTCATGTTGTTGTAAATGTTGTTATCAACATTGTTGTTAGCAATAATATCATTAACATATAATAATTAGGGACATAATTGTAATCAGGAAGTAATTTCGAATTAGAAACGACACTAATAAGGGCTATTAACGGTATGACTTGTCAAAAATGTGTGAAGAAACGATGTACAGTCACGTCATTAACACACCATGGTAGGTGTAGCATGTCCGTTTATTTTTCGTCACAAATATAAAACATAATAATGCCAAAATGCACATGTCATCACATCAATGAGCGCTAACCCTACAAGAAGAAATGCTCGACCTCCTCATCAATTAACATGGGGATGTCAACAGAGAGCTAATGCTAACGGGTCCATTAGCACTAGAACCACTGCAGCTCTCAGTAGTTTTTAGGCATGTTCGAGCTAAATGCCACGTCGGTGTTTTAGTAAACTTACCCCGCTGTTGACCTAATTCACCATGATGGAAATTCTGACCTTTGACTGAAATTAATATTTCAGTTTAAGACAAGAACTTCCTCCTTGTTGTTTGTATCTATCACCCACAGCGACATCACAGGGTTAAAAAAAAGTGTCAAGTCACCGCATGTTATTATATTCATTTCCGCTCATGACTTTCAAATTAAAAGGATGCTTGAGAAAAATGAAAGGGTAGAAACAGAGATAGCGAAGTAAAAAAAGAAAAAGAAAATAAAAAAACCCAGTAATGTAAAAATTGGAGCGTTGAAGCAATATAACAAAATGTCAGGCAGGCGATTAAGTGACAAGACGAAGAAAGATAGCAGCTGAAAAAAAACAAAACTTTACTGATGCTTTTATTTGTGAAAATTATGGACTGTATTTGTTTTCTCTGCAAATGGGTACGAATTTGATTCACAGGTCAGGCCAAAATCCTGGGTCTGATAGCCAGCTGCAACGATATGATGTACCTTAGAAACAAGACTGGCTTAGATTTGAAGAGCTTTATTTTAAGTCGTTCTCTTTTGCACAATTTGTACCAAACCATGTTCTAATTCAAGCTGTCAATGTCACTCAGCTGAGTGTATTTTCGTCTGGCTGCAGGGGAACTTTGGCGCTTTACTGCCACCTATCTTTTTTAAAATACCTTTTATGTATGTGACGAATAACTCAAAATGAACACAATAAATATCCAGTCCTGTTTCTTTTTTTTTTTCTTCTTCTTTCCATTCCCTTAAAAGGTACTACACGGTCACGCATAAAGCGAGGTTCATTACAGCACGTGGCCTTTTCTTGTCTTAACAATCCTACCATTCAACAAGTTTGCTTTTGTTTCAGTGATCTATTTCTGTCCATCCCTGAGGGTCAGTGGACCTGGCTGTGGCCTGTGTCACCGTGACTTGAATATGTGTTGTTTGTACAGCAACCGTTTAAAAGTGTCTTGGCTTTAAACAGAGCTGCTTTGTGCAGATAGATGAAGGAGGAAGTCACGCTACCTAACTATAAACATGACTCTCCCTTAGAAGTATTTACACTGTGGTCAATCTCTGTGCCTATTAGTAACACTGATGCTCTATTGATTTATCTCTATATCTATTTTCCCTGTGTAACCTTTGAACAATAAATGACTTCAATAGGATTTCCGGGGGTAGGAATTAAAGACATTTATTATAATAATAATGTTTTTAATAATAATATAATTTTTATAATAATATTCTAATAACAATGTTATGAAAGTGTAAACTGTTACAGAAGTTTTGCAAATGTGAAGGCGAAAAAATATATAGATTTTTATTTACATTGTTAAAAGGTAATTTAACTTATTGAAGAGAGAACTTAAGGTGAACAGAATGAAATAAAAATGTCAAACGCCAATGTCAATTTGAAATAGCCATAATAGCATAAAGTGAGGCACTAAATGAAATATAACAAAAAAAGTAAAATTTAAATACAGAATAGAAAATGTAAGAGGGGAAGTATGAAAATGTGACAATTTTTTTTAAAAATAGAAAAAAAGGAAGAAAAAACACCCAAGAAATATAAAGATAAAAATAAAGACAAAAAGTCTTTAGAAAGAAAAGGTGAAAAGTCAGGATCACAAATACTTTACAGTATCAATCCCTGGGGGAAATGTTTATTGTTACGATTGCATTTCAACAAGAAAAGACAAATGTAAAAATCTTCCTCATTAATTAAACCTTTTGGAAGACATTTACCAAAAGTAAGTTCAATTATGAAATACTCACAAAATTGCTACAAGTATTAAAGTTTAAAAATAATTATTAAATATTTCACAGTAAAATAATTCTCCATTTGTCACCACCTAAAATTTTGTAAGAAATAGTATAAAAGTTAACATCAAATTAATAAGTTATAACACACAGTTTATTTAGTGCTGATACTTTATCATGAATAAAAAGGTTTGTCTTTGAAGAAATAAAAATTGTAGCCGACGAATGCTGTAAATTTTTTTTTTTTTTTTAAATAGCTGAAATTATCTTCAGTCAACGTCTGCACTGGTGTCATGGGTCGGTTCGACTGCTTTTATACATTTAGTTTAATGACACTACACGTCACGATGCACTGCATGGTCTTAGTGTTTTTGCACATATGTCATTGAACATACAGTAACTACAACTGCGATATTATTTATTATTATACATATATATATTATATTATATTATATTATTATTCCTGGGTCATAGAACATGGAACGACTTGGTTTGGTGCACCACTGTAAAGGTCACTTTTGTAGCTGTAACCCAGGTGCTAAAAAGTAGCAGAAAGGTGGAAAATATGAAATCGTGAATTCAATTGTACATGTCATAAAATGATTATTAGCAGTGACTTTGATGAGGCAGAAAGTAAAGATTTGTAAAGCAGTAATTTGTTTTAGTTCAGGTGCATTACAGTGACTCAAGCGTCTGGAACCGTGGACAGCAATTAGTTCTTTTCTGACATATGGTGGCGCTGCTAACGTCCAACAACAACAGCAGTGACTCAGTAAAATGGCGGATATTTATCATCTCTGTTGTTGGGCCACATTCTTTCAGGTTCAGTCAATGTCATCATCCATCTTCATCTCAGTCTCGGCCATCTTTTCTTTTCTTTTCTTTTTTTCCATCTTTTTCTTCTTCTATTTCATCTCTAAAATTACCTTTCTTCTTCTTCTAATTCTCCTCCTCCTCCTCGTTCTCCTCCGTCTTCTTAACAGTGATAATAATCATAACATATTTGAACTACGGGCGTCTTTCAAGGACTCTCAATGTCACGGTACACAAATACACATCAAATGGAAATTAAACAAACAATAAAATGTGAAAGACAAAAAAAATAGCAGGAAAGACAGGTTTAAATAAGAACATACAGTGAAGTTGACGATGTGTGAGGTGATGAAGGAGCGAACACGTGCAGCCGTCGTCGGGAAACGAGGGCGAGCCGAGGCTCCTGCTTCTTCCTCCCGTCCTCGTTGTCTCTAAATTTCTTTTTTTTTTTTGTCTCGACTGGATTCTTCAACCAGAGAAAACCACAAACAAAGTCACAGCACAGACACAGAGACAGTAAAGTTTTGGTAGTTTTTAAATGTTTTATTTCATATGATTACACACAGTATATAACATTTGTCCATTTTACAACAGCTGTACCATGGTGTTCAGTTCTGAACTGTACAGTAACACTAGTCTGTTATTATAACAACAACAACAACAGCAACAACAACAACCTCTCTCGGTGGTTTCACAGTTTTTTAAAAGTTGGGGCTGACTACGTACTTGTTTAAAAACAGCTCTGAGAAATACAGAGCTGAGGATAATATTTTATACATATATAATACATTTTTTTCTTATGGTTAATTTACAGATGTTTTTTTTAGTTTGTAAAGTCAGTTTCTGTCCTTTTATCGTCCCACGGTGGGGAACACTGAAGCCCAAATCTTTTATTTGATTTTCAGCGTTCATGGCTTCACGGTGTACACCAGCTATTGGTAGCTTTATGTTTTTAGACGATTGTAATTTAGTCTGAAACTAAAGTGTTCTTCTTTCAATTTCTAACATCAGTCTGTGACATTTTCTCATAAAACTTCCCTGTTTTCATAAAGATTTTACCTCATGTTTTTACACCTAGCCTTTTATAAGATAACATTTTAAACGACCACCTTCAAAACTCGACTTGCTTTAAAATCTCTGTAATCCCAGCCATTCTTATCCAACACTGTCTGAAAACCAATCATTAAAAAAAAAAAAAAAAAACAATTTTACTCTAAAATGCACAAAATCACCATTTGACCTTTGGCCTCGTGTTCCTGCCGAGTCATCAGAGTCATCATCAGCTGTGTTTGTTGAACGGCTAATTTCCACTTAACGACCGTGGGCCTTTAAAATAACATTTTTAGCATCTATCCTAACATTTTACTTCACATTTAAATCAATTTCACGCTCACGTCTCACAAAAAGGGTCCAGTGTTTCAGCAGCGCTTCTTTCTCCTCACAGCTAAATACCAACAAGTCGTAATATGACTTATATTAATTCGTTAAAGTGCATGGACTTCACTATAACAACCGTATTATTTAAAGGTTTTCATTTACAGCAGAAAGCTGCAGGGTTTTTGTTTTTCTCTGTGTTTCTTGTCCATATAATTTTTCATGTTTTGACAGAGATCTACACGTGAAAACGCAGGGCCACATTCCTGACTAGCTTCCACAGGCGGGATGTAATTTAGCCTAAAACATTTTGGTGAGTCATCGGAACGCCAACAGGGCTGAAGACGAAGCACGGATCTTTCACTACAGCCTGGAATTTTAGTCATGTTTTCGGCCGTTAGCTCACACACAGCATGTTGTCGTTGTGCTTACCTCAGACTTCTGCCAGACCAGAGGAAAAAAATATAATTTTTCATGGGTCATAGTCATAGGTATTGTCAGATGACTGAAAAAAAAAATTAAAGCCGACTGGAGGACATATTATTTGGTCCAAATTGATGCCCGCAATCCTCATTTTCAGACGTTGAAAACATTTTTTGTTTGTATTTTTTACAGACCTGACAAAAAAAACTAAACCGACGTCAAAATAAGGTGCTAGGACTTTTTGGACAATTAAACTCATATAGTTCATTATTATGAAAAGCTTAGGGGAGAAAAATGCAGAAAGTGTCTGTGTTCGTCTCGGTCTCGGTCTCGGTCTTTGGTTGGACTGATCTGAACACAGCAGCTATATACAAACATACAAAAGTTTCAGGACAATTTTGTAAACGTTTTGAAATGACCCACGGCATTTAACTGTGTACAGTAACAGCCCACAGTCACGGGAGCCAGGCCGGCACGGTCAGAAGTCACTATCACATGCACAGCCCATGCATTGTCTTTTGTACAGTGTCACGCATCAGCTGCGAACCCGTCACACGCCGAAGTACCAGGAGCACAGCACCAGCTCCCGCAGGGTCTTCCGCAGCTCCTGACTCCGGTACGCGTAAATGAGCGGGTCGATGAGAGAGTTGCAGATGATGAGGATGAGGAAGAGGTTGAAGTTCCTGAAGAAACAGTTGCAGACGGTGCTGGTGGGGCAGGTGAGGATGAGGATGAGGTGAAGGAAGAAGGGGCCCCAGCACAAAATGAACACCCCCAGCAGGATGGTGAGGGTAATGGCACCCTTCATGCTGGTGGTCTGACGCCGGCTCTTGTTAAAAGCCATGATGCGCCGTGAGTGGATGTGCGCCAGCAGGAACATGTGCAGGTAGAGCACGGCGTTGAAGATGAGCGTGATGAAGAAGAAGGTGACCAGGCAGACGATGACGGCGTTGTCGGTGTGGTAGACGATGAAGAGGATGCTGGCGGTGATGCTCGCCAGCCACACCACCGCGATGATGGTGACGGCGCGCTGCGTGGTCATAATGCTGTGGTAGCGCAGCGCGTAGAAGATGGTGATGTAGCGGTCCGCGGCGATGGTGCAGAGGAAGGAGAGCGACGACACCACGGAGCTGCATATCATCACGTCGATGACGTTGTCCAGGTGTCGCAGCATACCTGGGTGCAGGTCCAGGAGCCCGTGGTCGTGGAGCAGCATGAAGATGGTCTCCACCACGTTGCTGACGCTGACCAGCGTGTCCGACACGGCCAGGCAGCAGATGAAGTAGTACATGGGCGAGTGCAGGTTGCGGTTCTTGATGATGGCCAGGATCACCAGGATGTTCTCCACCAGGCTGATCAGCCCCAGCGCCAGGAAGAGCTCCTGCGGGATGCGCACCTGCACGCAGCCCAGATAGTGTCGCTCGCCGCCTGAGGAGTTGGTGTCATTCTCCTCGAAGATGTCGAGGTGTGGGTTGAACTCCATGTGGAGGATGGAGGGGAAATGATGGGACCCGTTGGTCCTATCCATGTCCATGTCCATGTCCAGGTTGGTCTCTGACATGCGCATTCTGACTTTATCGGCCCTGATGTGTAAAGGTTGAAGTGTCGCCAGCTGCAGACCGAGCTCTGCTTAGTTGTTCATCAGGTCGAGTCCAGTTGAGTGATAAAAAACCAAAGAGCGCAGGAGAAAATTGATGTGGTCAACAACTGAAATAGTCCACTTTCCTTCAACGCATCCGACCTGTCCGTCCACTTGTTGGCCCATCAGACAAACTCAGTCAAATCCCGACTTCTCAGCGTGTGAGCGTGGACCAGCAGCCCTCAGAGGGTCTTGTGAAGCCGCCTCAGAGTGGAGAACTGTGAGCTTTTTGACTGTTTTCTCAGACTGATGCTGAACTCATCAGAAAGACTCCGGGCGACTCCGCCTCTCATGCAGAAGTCAGCTGCTGGGCTGCACCAAAAAGAAAATAACAACAGGACTGTTTTTTTTTTTTCTTCAACCGCCACAGGTCCCTGTGTTCATGTTAGAGCTGTCTGTCTGACATGACTACTCAGATGAATGGCCCATACTGTGCTCAGTGGCTTGAACTGATTTGACCAAAAAGAGGACATTTTTATGGATCATGTGGTCAGGTTACAGGGTTGTGGACCTCATCTTTAATGAGACCTATTTTACAGAGCATTGACCCTCAGGACCTTGGGCTACATCTGTTTACTTCGAGAAAAAAAAAACAACAGAAGAACTTTTCAGAGATATTTGGCCGTCGTGTAATTGGACGTGTTCCGCTGTCGGAATCAGATAGAAAGAAGTTAAATAAACGTTTTTCCATGGAAGCAAAACAGATGCTAGTTCACACGTGTTAACGACCACTCGAGGCTAGCTAACGTGTCCATTCGGGGCCTGTTATGAAACTCGGGCTACGTTGATATAAAACAATGATTGCCAAAAAACTGGACAGTGAAGATGAAGTAAAATGAAAAATTAGAACGTCACAGAACTGCAGTTCTGAGTGGTTCGTAACTGTTCTCAGGGACGCACGGTGGCGTACGCCCTGCCCAGCTCTGCACGTACGAACACAAACAACCATTCACACTAACCATCAAACCTACGGCTTATTCAGAGTGAACACTTTTTCACGTCCGATACCAATACTGATACCGTAGATACTGCGACTTCCAGCATTTGTCGATATCAATCCGATACCTTTTTTTTGCAGAGAAATTGATAAGAACATTTGGGCTCAGGTATCGGATCGGACAAGCTTTTTCAAATGTTCGATCCTGAAATTTTGATCAATATCGAGCCGATACCGATCCTGAGTATCCGATGGAGCTAACCCTCGTTAATACGACTTCACTGTCCCATGTGAGCTCTGACTGAAGTAACTCAGAGTACAAGTCAGTGTTGGACATTCTAACCGTCATTAAGTCATTACCTGATAATGAAAGGAAACAACGGTGTCAATATGTTCTTTCAGTCTATGATCCCAAAGGCCGATCGTACCGGCTTCACCAGGTATAATTTAAGTGTTTGTCTTTGAGGACACAGAGGCAGCCATGAGGCCTGAACGCCCCCGAGTAGAAAAGCAGGTAAGATGAAAGTCCACCGCTGCACATATTACTGCAGGGACCTGAACTGTTTCGTACCTCTCCCTGGAAATGTAGCTGAGCCGGTTCCTCTGCACCTGACTCTGAGGACCTGAACATGTGTGAGGGACTACGGCGTCCTGACAGATGTTCCGCGAAGCCTTGAACGTATACGGTAAAAGCTGTTCTACGTTGTACGTTACATAAAAGACCTTTATGGTTCATGAATTATTGCCTGGAAACATTGTCCCACTTCACTGATGACGTTTTTCATTGCTGACGTCTATTACTCAAGTAGGCTTTTCATAATTGGATGTGGTGAAAAGAACAGTACTGCACAAACACCGTGCTGTGACATATGTTATAAGTTCTCCTCAGCTCCAGTTATTTGACCTGAATGCGATGACATGGCTGGTTTGTTCATCTCTGTGTTGAAAAAGTCAAGTTGACTCTGTAAATTACTAGCTATAGCACATGTGTCAAACTCAGGCTCGGGGGCCAATTCTGGCTCACAGTGAAATTATATTTGGCCCACGAGATGCCAAGATTTTTGTAAATTAAATGTAAATTACTAGCTATAGCACATGTGTCAAACTCAGGCTCGGGGGCCAATTCTGGCTCACAGTGAAATTATATTTGGCCCACGAGATCATTCATGTGTTACTAGAGTTGGCTTGCCAGTTTATAGACACTGTATATTGGTGGGATTTGTAGTATTAGCGGTGAATGCCTGTGAAAAAAAGATTTACATTATAAAGGAACTCAAAAGGCTACAGATATATAACATCTCTGTCCTCAAGGGGGGGTATGAGAGAAATGAAATTAAGAACCACTGCCTTTCACCAAGTAGACTTTGTGTCGGCTGATCTCCCTGTGTGTGGGTCTTCAGGTAAACAACTTAAAGTTGACCCTTGGTGTGAATGTGAGTGTGAATAGTTGTCTGTCTCTTTATGCGATGCTGTGGTGAATTGATCAACTGTCCAAGGTGTGCCCCCTACTGCCCCCGCAGGATAAAAAAAAAAAGGAAAGGAAACGCATGTAAAGCTGAGGAAAGGTCATCATTGTATACGGTACAATATGCTCTGTGTGTGCACGGTCATGTGCTGTTCTACGTTTTAACCTGACGAGGCAGTCAATTAGCTCGGAGCTGTGATTTAGAACAGTGCATCAACTATTTTAACTCTACACCGATCCCCGTTAGACAAACCCAACAAATGAGCTTAAGATGCTTTTAAGTAAAAGTTAAATTTGCAAATCATGAGTAGGATGCACGGATAAGACGTGATGTGCAGGATCAGGGTCAGGGTCAGGGTCAGGGTCAGGGTCGGTCAGTGGTAACGTTGTGTAATATCTGTAAGAATCGTTATCGTTTTTTCCTCTCGTAATGAAAACCCGATAACACAATATATAGTATATATATATTGTAATATATATATAATCAGTGGTAACGTTGTGTAATATCTGTAAGAATCGTTATCGTTTTTTCCTCTCGTAATGAAAACCCGATAACACAATATATAGTATATATATATTGTAATATATATATAATTTTATATATATATTAAATGGCAAATAAAATCAGATTTATTTAATTTTACAAAATTTGATTGACTCAAAATATTTTTTTAGGTAAGAGAATGCTAATGCTAAATAAGGACAATGTTGGGAGAACAAAACCGTTTATTTAAAAATACGTCAGCCATAGCGACACCACCGGTTCAATGAACAGAGTCTTAATCATAACTGAAACACGACCAAAATCCTTTCATTTTCACCCGCTTCAATAGAGACCTAATTATTTTTCTTTAATAACAATTTTACAATTATAAAAATATTAGTCAGTTTCAATATTTTAATTTTCAAGATTTTCACCCTCAGTCCCACTCGTCCTCGTCTCTGTAGGGGTTGTCGTCCCTCGGTGGCTCCTGGAACCTGATGTTTGCCAGCATGTCCCTCATGGCGACCATGAGTCGGTTCACCTCCTGGTTCAGCTCTTGACCAGCTTGTGCCACTTCCAGGTTTTCTTCGTCCCTCTGTCCACCCTTAACAGAAGATAAAAAACATTTAAAAAAAGCAGACCTATTATCCCTGTTTTGTCATATTTTAAACCAGTGGTTCCCAAACTTTTTTTCTGGGGATCCATATTTTAAAAGTCACAAACCTTCATGATCCATGTCAATAGACATTGTTCGTAACTCCTGGGAAACATGAGGAGAAAAAAAAATCTCTCGCAGTGTCATGACCCAGTCTTTGGGAAACGATGTTTTAAACTGCTCTTTGTATTCCAATTTTTTTAAATTCTAGGTAACACCAATGCCTCTGTGCCTGCCTGTACCAAAACACATGTAGCATAAGCGACAAGAACGTTTTGTTGTTATTGAACGAGCTCCAAACCTACCAAGCAGACCAAAGATTTTTACTAAAGATTCCATGAATGTGGCCAGACTAATAATGCCTCTGTGCCTGTGCAAAAGTCACATAGACTTACCAAGCAGACAAATTCATTCATTCAACACAACTGTGTGTGTCCATAGACTAGGAATGCCTCTGTGCCTGTGCAAGTTCAACGTAGTGTCTCATGTGCTCTGGGCACACTGATTTACAGTGTTGTATATGGCTTTGCTGGACTGTTGATGCTACTACGCCTGTGCGAAATGACTGTTTTGATTGTTTACATTCTATCACTGCTTCAGGATACACCTGACTAAACGCCCTATAAAAACACATAATGTATCTGGTCCATAAACTTGGCCCATTAAAAATAAGAAAGAAAATAAAAGTGACAGCCTTGTGTTATGTGTGACTTTCATTAATTATAGTAATTGCATTTTTGTTTTATCTGTCCCGTCTCTGTTCCTCCCTTTGTAATTGCATTTTTGTTGTATCTGTCCCGTCTCTGTTCCTCCCTTTAAGTGGAAAACATGATCAGGATGCTTGGAAGTGCTCTGACGGAACAACGCCTCGGGCCCATCTGTTAACAGTGAACATGCACAGTATGGCGGATACACAAGATGTTCTATGTGCGGACGTGGATCTACAGGGTACGACCCTGTGAAGATCCACTGGTCACAGTAGGGGGCCACAGTGAGACTAATGTACCCGTATTTATGGCCGAATTGGACACAAAACGCTGCTGTTGTACAGTTCTCCTGTTACCAACGTCGACCTGTGTCACACTGTTGACATTTCACACCTGTGTGTACAAAGCATTATGTAACATTAATAACAGGAATTATCACAGGTTTTTTTTTGTGCTGAGGAAACTACAGATATCACAGCACAAAATATCAACATAACGTCACCTTTAATACAGTGTGACTTGATTGTCATCATAAATCTGACAAAAAAAAAAAAAAGAAAAAAACAGCTCATTTGTGTGTTGGTTATTTATATTCACTACTTGATTAATGTTGATTTTTGTTTGTCTGTGAATATTCAAATATTAAGATTTCTGTGATTCACAGCCGACAAACCCTCTCGGCTAACGTGACTTCACGAAGTACGTGAACACGTCATGTGACTGTCACAACATTTAAACCAAGACACTTCACTGAGAAGTTTGGCCTTACAAAAAATAAATAAAAATCAGTCAGTCAAATATCTTGAGAGTGAGTACTGAAGGACTTCTTTAGTTTGTTTCTTTTTCTTCTTCTTAAGGCAAACCTTTTGAATACATATTTAGAACTGCCTTCTTCTTTCATAGCTTGTTCCTAAACATCTTATCTAAAGTCAACGTTTGATTCAAAAGTCCGACCTTCCACGTGTACGTCCAGTGGCTGGAAAGTATTTCTGTGCAGGAACAGAGTATGAGTCTACAGCAGGCTGGGCAAACTAAGGCCCGGGGGCCGGATTCCGCCCGTTCAGCTTTTTAATCCGGCCCGCCAAACTTTTCCTAATTATTTCATTTATTTATATTATCATTATATGTTTGCCTTTTCCCTGCAATACCCACATTTTACCCAGAAAATTATAAAAGCATTTCAGCCTTTATGCTCGACTTTCACATGTCATTTATCTTCACACGAATGCTCCATCTACCCCCCCCCCCCCCCCCCCCCCCATTGAATTTCAGGACCGTTGTGGCCCACGCCTGGTCTACAGGAACACAAATACTGTGTAACACAAATAATAAAACCTGAACTTCAGTGAACAACCATCGTGCAGGTGCGACAACAAACCTCACGCACATGCGTTGATGTATCAGGTTTGTTCACATTGCAGTTGTTGCCAGACAAACACAAGTGAAAGGCAATAATTCAAGACTAAATGAGGATCTCAGCCGCCTGATGACGCTTTTGATTTATGGTCCAATTTCGCACCTTACTTTTGTTAAAAAAATAAATAAAATAATTTTAAAATTTAAGTGAGCTCAAAGGTGAGAACCTTCTGGTTTCTTATGATTTATGGCTCACGGTATGCGTCAAACATGGCTGCACAGTGAGCACACATTACCTGTTCAAACACAAATTATAGTTGAGGATCTCTATCAGTTGCACAGACAGTCAAAATAAGTGTTCATTGTGAACATGGGTAAACACAGAGCGGTTAATGAGAAAATTGAAGAGCAAACATTTATATGGTTATTTATTTTTGAAGACATTGTGGCTGGATGTGCTCTCAGGAAAGGTTACATCAACTGAACTCAAGTTCACCTCCCAGGCTCTAAGAGAGTTACAGGGAATTTTTTTTTTTTTTCAAAATGAAAAACTGATACGATATGTATTAATATATATACATATATATATATATTGATCGATTTAAACTAAAATCAAAACACTTTTGCTGTACGTCTGTAAGACTGGAAATCTGTAGAAATGCCAAAAAAAACGGCAACACTGATTGGTTAGAACAACATTGGCAGTTGAATTTAACTGTCAATATGGATAAATGATTATATTTAGTAACCCCCCGGGTTATTTTATATTTTTTTACGCAGCAGTTAATGTTGCGTAGCACATGTAATGATATTTTAGGCACGGTGAGCTGCAGATAAAGAGTCACACAGGGTGTTTCTGCAGTTTTAGCCACTAGCTAGCTGTGTTTGTGAGACAACACCATACGTTGGACAAAAGTTGTTTTCTTTCTTTGCTACAGGCGGAACAAACAGCAGGAACAACGGCGCTCTGTTGAAAATGGCCAGATTTCCTCTGGTGGCTGTGATGTGTCAAACACCAACTTTTCTCTGTGTAAATTGACTAATTTGCAGTACATTTGACTGCAAATCAATTCAAAGCTAAATATAATTTTTTGTATTGAAATAAAACAAACGTATATATGGTTTCAAAGAAAAAAATCAAACCTGGACAACAAGTTAACGATGAGTTGGAAAATGGTATTAAAGTGGAACAAGGTCTCATGATTTATGAGCTGTTTTTCAGTGGTCGTTGCTTCAGGGTAACCATGTGTGTTGAGGAAATATTTTATCACTCTTTTGTCACAACATTTTAAGTGTTAAGATGTTTTCAACACCCTGAAGGCCTGCACTGTTCAATGGGCACTTCTGTGTTTGACTTGTGCCATCTAAGAACAAACCAAAAAAAAAAAAACAACCAAAACTTCAAAACATTTCTGAAAACGCCACCGAGGCCTGGATCACAGCGGTCGAACGTTTTAAAAAAGGTCAGCGTGTACTAGTCCAAATTATTGAACACTATGAAGTCACGACGTGTTTGAGACGTGTAAGGTCTTCATCACATGATGTCCCCCACATGCAAACCATGGGTTCTTTTATTCTCGGCTGATTTTTTTTTTTAAGAGAATAATGGCAGCATTAAGATTTGCCTTCAAATGACATGAGTGTGATTTGCTCCACAGCTCAAGGACAGTGTTGCTCCACTTCTCAAATCATGTACGTGTGCGCTAAGGTGCTCGCAACGAACAGAGGAGTGTATGAAAGAGGTCTTTGTTTTGAAGGAGGTGATTTTTTTTGTCCACAGTTAATATTCACTACATTTTATCAGTGATTACAATTTTAACTGTGGTAAATTTTAAGTTTTATTTTCATGTTCAAAATTCTAAATTTCCACCGTAAGAGTTAGTGTTCCCTCCTCTCACAGCTTCTGTCAGGACTGTCATGTTCTTCACTGTTTTCTGTTCTGTATCTCTGACCAAACAGATTCACAGACACTGTGTAAAACACAGCTTTAGGAAACATGGTAATTCAATTTGCTTCTACTGTATGTGTCCAAACTGACGCAGACCACATTTCTTTAATACATTTACTGAAGTCAAAGTGACCGTGAAGCAGCGGCTGCTCTGATGTTCAACTGTTTAAAATAGATCAGTTATTAAATCTTGTCTTCTTGATTTAACAACAAAAGCTTGTCTTAAAGGTACCACTTCACAGCACTTAAGATCCTCAATACTGTGCTGCGTAGTTAATACAGGATCAGTGACAGTTTATTTGTAAAGCAAACAGTGGCGACGACCTGGATTACTTATATTTAAAGTGAACTCCTTGTCATTGTGACACAGCACACAACCAAATGTGACCTCATTTTAACCCATCACCAAAGTGAACAGTGGGCAGCTTATTAGAACATAAAACCTACAGCAAGCCACGAAATTAGTGTGATGTGAAATATGTCATTTTAAAGTCAATTGTTTTGCATAAAAATATGCTATTTATTTATGCAGTAATACTGGCCTGACGTGTCACAGTCTAAAGGCTAAAGTGGCCTGTGTTTTCATAGATGTACCAGGGCTGATACACAGCACTCACCTGAAAGTTGAAATTTGGCAGCAAAGAACGGAAAAACAGGGACAACGTGCTCTCGTTGGACGCACCGCCGTTTTGCCTGTTTGAAGAAACACAAACACACACCTCTGTACAGTGGTTGCAAAAGGATAAAAAATTAAATGAGTAGAATATACCAGTGTGACAGTACAGTACAGTACAGTACCTCTCAGGTTGGGTGTATGATATGACTGAGTCCAGTGGAGGCAGAGGGTCAAAGCCCATCATGGGCTGAGTGGTCACCTCCTGAAACACAGATCACAGTCACCTTTTCTGCTTCTTGTGTAACTGTTGATGGGTCAAGAACCCAGACCATGACGTGCAACATCTTGATGTTGACTTTAAGGTCATGATTATAGAGCAGGTTTCACACTTGGCCTTTTCAAACCAAATGGGCACATCATCAATAAATATTTGTTGTCAAAAACATTGGATCAGGATAGTTTTACATTATTAAATTGTGTTTTATATATTTATTTATTTATTTATGTCAATGACACATTGAAATTTTAACATCTGTCCTTTTGGAAGCATCTTCTTACTAAAGGCAGACAGGAAGTGGCTTCCTTGATCTCGGACAGGAGAACGTGTCGGTGGATGTTCCTCGGTGCACTCTGGTACCTCTGCTGCCGCCTGGAACAGAGCACATGTGGAAGCTCAGAGAGACATCTTTATTCTTCAAGCTCTTCTTAGATTCAGACATAATTGACATGTTTGACAGTGAGCTCCTGTCCTCCTTTATTGATGTCACCGAGACTCATCCTTATCATCATCCTGGAGGAGGGACCAGGCCTTGTAGAACCAGCTGATGAGGACACGTCACAGTCGCAACGTGTAACACCTCTACGGAAGAGGAGCGCTCACTGCCGAAAAAGTGCGACGGTAAAACGACGCCTGACTGAAGAATATATTATCTAAGACACACAGATGACTGTGTCGAGGTTTACTTTAGGCCAACAGTTCCCGACCTTTTCTTGGCATGTGACCCCATTTTGACAACACAGATTTCTGGCAAGCCCAGAAGGCTCTCGAAAACTTTTCTCTGTCTTTTTGTCGTCTGTCTCTTAATCAGGAAATATGAAGAGGATAATTGTATCTATTTTAGAATTTTAATTTCACAGCGAGATATTTTTAGGTTGTTTCAAATGCAGGTCTACATCAAGTATTAGCTCCACGCCTGCGTGTCTGACCGACGTGAGAGAACACATATGACAGAGACAGGTGAGTAAATACTGAGGTGAGTAAATACTGACTTGTTCTGACAGTCCTCCACCTGAGGATCGTTGGCATCGACGCGACGCAACACTTCCTTCACACACTCCTCCAGCCACAGCATCACCGGCGCCTCCCTCCACATGCTGAAGCTCCGACCGATGTACAGGGCTGTCAGCTCGGTCAGAGCTGGTGGCTGCCTACAGGGTATGACAAACTGTTACTGGTCGGGCTGCAAAGAGTCATTCATTCATTCATTCATTCATTTAATTTAATAAATAAAATGTTAATAATAATTTGAAGTCAACAACCACTATGCAACTTTTTGGCCCAAAGAAAGCATGTGAGGTGACGGTAGCATCCGGCTGCACGGTGCACAAATCCAGCAAAGGCATCAAGACTGAAGGAAACACATCAACAACCACGTGAGAGGAAATACAACGACCTGCACCTTAATGTCACAAAGAGTTTAACAGCCTTCGGCAACAGAGGTCAAGTGTTTGTATGAGTTTACAGCAAACAGAGGGCGCCATACCACTGCAGCTTCTTAATAAAAAAAATTAAATTATGTTCAACAAATTTTTCTGTTGGCAGGGCGTGACCTCACACCCCTCACCCTGCGAGGCGGTCATTAATTAATTCTAGTCGTCCAGCGTCTCTCTGTTCTAACCTCCAGGAAACATGATGAGGGCGTTTTCTAGCATCTCGTCAGCTCTGCTTCTGAGTTTGTCACTTTCTTCTGGATCCAGGTCTTCTTCTTGGCTCAGATGAAAATGACATAGTGCAGTGGAGAAGGCAAAGTTGGGCAGCTGCGACAGGTTCCTGTGGTCCTAACATCGGAGAAATTAGGAATTAACCCCATAAACATGGTCAATTATTTTCTTTAAAACCTTTTGTATATAATCTGATACATGTATTCTGCCCCTGGATTAGGGTTATACACAATATATATAATACATTTGGGGAATGTTATACAGTTTAATCAAAACATCATGAGCTCCAAAAATTTAGAATTTTAGAGTTTTTTTTAATGTGTCATATATCCAGGGTTAAAAATTAATATAATATAAATAAAAATAGACAAAGAATTTAATATGCACTCAACAGCATTATTTACCTCCCAATCCTGGTATAAGTGTAGGAGGGACTGATACTCTCTGGAGCGCAGCATGAGGAAATCGATCAGCAGCAGCATGCAGAGAGGGTCAGAGTCTGGGTCCAAACTGAAACACGAAGAGGAAGGTTAGAAAAGTGAACAACTCTGGGCTGCTTCTCTTTTTCAAATCCTAGTCAGAGAAAAGAATTATATACAATAATATATAGATGGTAGATTTTAGTCTCAGTCCATTCACTGATTTTTTTTTCTTAATTCAACATTTTTTTGCCATCTTTAAGCAATCTTTTGGTTAACTAGGCATAAAGACTAATTCTTATTTAACCTCTAGCCAATATTAAGATATTTAACTCACTCAACAAATTAATATTGGTTTCATTAAAACATCAAAATATTTAACTCAACAGATTAATATTGGTTTCATTAAAACATCAAGACTAAATGTTTTGTGGAAATCTGTTAATGACATATTAATTAACTTGACTAAGGAGCAGCAGTTCATTTTGACTTCATCAATTCTGGGAAATCAAACATCTACGTTGTGATTAAAGCTGTGCTCAAACTGCGGCTGCTGTGATGAAATCGGTGGCGAATTGGGAAGGACAGATGTCAGACTTTATTCCCACACTGCCGCCTTATAAAAAGACCAGATCATACAGTCGTTTTCACGACAGAAGCCAGTCATACACAGTGTATGATAGAAACTGTAGATAAGCAACGACTCTTATATAGACAGGCTGTAAATATGTTGTTGTTTTACAGTGACAGCAGAGAAACAATAAATCCAATAAAAGCTTCATGTAATTCAACATTATCCACGCTGCACCGAAACAGCAGAAATAAATCAGAATCAAAACGTGTTTTTCTTTGGTACTTCCCACTGATCGGAAGCCTGTGCATGAAAATTGAATGTGACACAAAATGTCCAGCAGGGCTCGTCTACACTGGTCATTTACAACAGCGATGGTAATAACAGCATTAAAATGAACGTTGGAGTAAATGTGAAGCCGACCGGTGGCAGAGGTGGGCGGGACCACACGCAGTGTTGACCAAATAAGGACAAATGTTCAGGAAGAAGTGAGCTTAAGAAAAGGGCCACCTGTAGTTCAGAGGAGAAATAACCATCTAGATGGTTCCAGGAAGTGTGGAGCTGATCTGACCTTGACAGCCATAAACCTCAGTGTAGTCTGGTGAATGAGACAGGAGTAGAGGAAGTGAACTACGGCTCTCACCTCAGGATCAGTTTACAGAACTCCAAAGCTGTTCTGGGACATCCTCTCTTCTCCAGAAACATCATGTGCTTATAAAGAGCCAGATAAAACGCCCTGAAAATTAAATAATGGTATTGTTACGGTCTTCAGAATGTGTTTTCATTTCTGGAAAAAAAAAAAGCAGCATGCCTCCTGCAAATTCTCTCAAAAACAGCTGACAAGATCGAGCGACTCACCTGTTCTCAGGTCGCAGATAATCCAGTCTGCTGTTGCCTGAGGTCAGGCTGAATAATGGGTGAAAGGTACTCTCCAGGCTGTACAGGGCCCTCTCTGGAGAAGCAAAAATATGTGGTTAACTGAAACTACATTTTTTTCTTCTTATGGTATTTAAAACCACTGTGGGAAAAATGTGTGTAAATAACAACACGTGTACTGACACGTGGCCTATTAGAGCCAAGGTGACGCTGGGTCAACTGTCAGTCTGTCCATTTGTTGACGTGCGTTAAATATTTAAATCTGACTGTTGGTGATTTGTGTTCAAATTTCACAGGCTTCATTTGATTTGTTTTGTTTTGTAAAAATTCAAACTTATTTCCCCGTGATCCTCACCGATGAGATCCCTGGCCATCTCCTGGTCCTCCTGTATTCGACAGACATCCGACAGCTGCAGCAAGGAGTCGATGTGGTAAGGATTAGCTTGTAGCAGAGCCTGTAGGACCGAAGAGACAGGAAGTTAAAGGTTAAAGTTAAAAAATATTTTAATTTAAAAAAAAGTATTTAATAAACTCTGCAGAAAGTTGACATGTTTTTTTATTATTATTATAACCAATATTTTTTAATTACCACAATGTTGTTGGGATCCATGGACTCCACAGCATCAAAGAACTTGAACTGAACTTGTTGGTAGTCCCGGTCATGCTCAAAGGTGAAGTAATGAACGCCGTCTTTAGTCTGCAGCAGGGTCATTGAGATTCCTGTGAGAGATATGAGTGAGATGGTGGAAAGTCAGACAAAACACTAGCACTTAACAAAAAAAATATACAGCAAAAAAAAAAAAAAGTATATGTATATTCTTTATATATGTATATATATATATATACACACACACACACATATATATATATATATATATATATATTTTTACAATTAAATATTGTGTGTATGTAATACAGGCAAATAATATAGGCAAAAACTTCAGCCTAGATTTATATAACGAGTTTAAACCCTGGAGTACAGTTCTGGTTCCTGTGTGTTTGGGCGTCATGTGACCTTCCTGTTGGATGAATTATAAGGTCACAACGTCAGTAGTGTTATTTACAAAGATTCAGCAAAGTTATATATTTTCTGCCGCAGGATCTTTAATAGGAAAGAACATTGTACATATGTCAGCGAATGATGAACTGACACTAAGACGCACAACGCGTAGGTTTGTGAGAAAAACGTAAACCAGCCGCAACGTAAACAACAATCAGTTAATCAATGATAACATTCAGTGTGGACACAATAAGGCAGTCTTAGTGATGACGTTAGTCAAACAAGAGCAATATTCATTCCAGTACTGCAAAAGGGAAAACACGAAACGCTCCAGGAAGTGTTGGATTATGTAGCACATACTTCCTTTTACACCAGGAGGTGATGAAACCCTCAGTATTGATTCAAGGCTGTTGAAGATGCTATCAGTGGAGAACGACGTAGGCGACATGAACTCTGGATATTGAGTAACACAAATTCACCTGACCATCACCAGACAATCCACACATTGAGACCCTACTGACTACAGGGTCTTCATGCCCACCACCTGCTGTCAGTGGGTTCAACGAATGACAGTCTAGTGCTGACAATGCTTTGAGCAGAAATCTGAACAGACTACAACAAAATTTTTCTTCAATATTTTTTTATTATTATTATTTTAATTAATTCAAAATAGATTTTTCTTCAATAATTTTTTATTATTATTTTAATTAATTCAAAATAAAAGCATTGAGCAGAATTGAAATTAGAGAATTTGTGCCACCCTTTACTTCGGACGAGTACCAAGGTGCTGAGCAATGAAGGATTATTACATTTCTAAAATAAAACATCTTTTAGACTCTATTCTGTTTGTATCAGAGTCTGAATGACGTAATATTTTAAAATACTGGTACTGGATTTCCGTTGAATCAAGTAAATTAGTAAAAATTAAATACATTTTCTTCACTGTGTCCCACTGCGGCCCAGTACCAAATGACCTACGGACTGTTTGGGCCGCAGACCGGAGGTTGGTGACAGTCAAGACTGTATGGCTGATGTACTGGGCCGTGACAGTCAAGACTGTATGGCTGATGTGGACAAAAATGAGTTCGACAGCCCTGCTCTAAGGTAGCACTGACCAGTTTTCCCACCATGTGGCCCTGAAACTGTCATATTACCACAGAACCATTATCTAACATGGTTTTAAGATTTATGACTTTGTGTGTGATGTTTTTCTCATTTACACAAAGTCAATGCTGTTGTTGTTTTTTCAGTCACATTGTGTAAAACTGACTTTTGAAAACAAGGCTGCAAATCAGGGACGATTTATGTGATGTAAGAGTTCACCAGGTTCCAGGTTATAACTCACAGAATGACCTTTTTCACATAATTCACACCAATGTGGCCCTGACTCACCTCAGAAACCACCAGTCTGGGTTGAGTTTTTGTAAATGTACCTGTGCGGCTGAATCGAGGCCAACTGTCCTTATGACTGGTCAGCCAGGTGCTGCGGTGAAACTGCCTGTTTCTTTGACGAGGTCTGACAAGATCAGAGAAGCCAGCGTTATTACCTGCTGTATATACAAAAATGTGAGGGTTTTTTTTTTATGTCATATATTTTTACCTTTGGTCTCCCAAAACAGCTCGGGCTCCAAAATATTTCTTCAGCTCTGTCTCCGAATTGAGATTCCTGAAAATGTAAGTTAGAAAACGATGGATAAATACAGAGAGTGGAGAAAAAGAACAAAAATAAAATGTGGTTTTAGTTTAGTTGAACTACAGCATTTTAAATTTTAATTTTAATTAAATGATCATAATAGATTGCAGTTACAACATTTGTGAGTTTATTCACTTGTCATGGATTATTCAGAAAAAAAATCTTCAAATTTAAAAAATAATATCGACATGACTCCTAATTAAACGTCCATTATTTTTCCCCTAAATCAATATTACGTTTTACTTGTAACCCCCATCCTTTTTATATACGACGACAGTGTGGTATAGTGCGCCACCAAGTGATAATATTGAAGAATTACATGTAAATAAACCGATTGTGTACCTATTTAGGGGAATTTGTGATTTTTCTGTTCGCGGAAAGCTGTGCTGATATCACAAAATTTAAAATAGAAAACGTAAGTGTAAAACGTAAAATCTGAGCTTCCCTCTCACCTGTGCTCTACATTCAACACGTGTCGCCTTTGAGAACATCCACAGTCTTCATTTTGTAGACCCAGACCACCGTTCGGTTGCTCCAGATTCTCCAGGATTAAATCGATGTTGTCATTTGCACCATCCTTCTGTAACCAGACACGGATGTCATTTAAAAAGGACAAACAAAGTGAGGATTCACATCATCTTTACACGTAAACGCACCTGTCCCTCGTCTGGAGTCCCCTTCTTCTTCTTCTTCTTTTTCTTCTTTTTAACTCTGTCTTCAGACACAGACTGTTCAAGGGAGGATTTACAGAATTTGCACAGATGCACATTAAGAACAGAAAAAACGTATGTTGGTCAAAACAATGAATGAATCACCTTTGTCAAAGGCAATTCTTACCTTGGCTGTTGACGTTTCCTCCTCCATTTCACCAGGCTTGTCACTCTCTTCATTATCATTATGTTCTATGTGACTTGTTATGTTTGAATTTAATTTTTTGGCGTCTTCATAAGATGAGGTTTTCTCCGCCTCATTTTCTACGTCGCATATCTGAAAAAACAGTAAAAGAAAAAAAGATTGTCAGACAGCATCACAGAATAGTCTGGTCTAGTAAAAAGAAAGGGAAACAGATGTATTCGGTCAAAAATGTCCTTAAAAAGCCATGCTTTTGTGAACTAAGAAACAGCTGGGTTTTGTCCAGAGAGTGGGCCACACCAGTACTGTACAGTCCATTTTTAAATGGCACGCATTTGAAAAAAGTCTGAGTAGCATGGGCTACACCAGCCTCTGAACTCTTCTAAAGTTAGATGACGAAGTCTTAATTGAACACTGCGGCAGAATGTCTTAATACCTGTAGGTATGCCACTCCGTTACAACCTTTGACCAAGTATTAAAACGACATTTGTCCATGTGTAATAGCTGGTGAGTACGGCGACTTCTCCCTGTTAGCCCCTGTTAGCCTTGCCCTTTTCCATCTCTAATAACGGTTACATTCAAATGTCATGTTTGTTCATTTTCAGCGTTATCTCACCAGTTCGTAGATGTTGCTGACGTTTTTCTGCGCCTTGTTCTTCTTGGCTTTTCGGCCTCTGTCTCTCTTGTCAGCCGGAAAGTCAGAAACATGAGCCACTTCCAGCTGCTCCTCCTCGGACTGCTCCCCATCTGGAGTTAAATCCCCGAGGTCCAGCGCCTCCTGACCGCGCTGTTTACCACGCAGTCTCCGCAGAGCCCGACTGGACATGTCCGCTTCCCAAGAGATAAAGACAATCTGGAATAATGGTGAATTAACCAATGTATGCTAGCTGTCAAACCAAAACACTACTGCTTCTGCTTCTTCTTCGGTAGTTCTACGTCTACACCTTTAAACGGTTTGATCAGCATCTAGGCTCATTACTTCCCCCAATAGGCGACATAAGCAACTGCAATTTTAGCATTGACAAAAGAATTCGCCAAAAAAGTGACCAATGGTACAATAATAAACACATTTGCACAGTGTTGCTAAAATATATTATACATATAAATAAATATTTATTTTTTATAAATAGTTATTTTTCTTCTACGCTACGTCTCTACGGTAGTCTTCAGGTTGTTCTTAGACAGTTTGGCGTGAGGTGTCGCAGCGATACCACTAGATGTCACCATCTCACTATTCCTTCATTTTAGTTAAAAGAAACCGATGGAACAGGGACACATTTCAAAATAAAAAAAATGAATATACCATATGAAAAAAGAAAATTTTATACATTTTGTGTTTTAACCTGACAATTTATAAAATATAAACTGATTTAAATGTTTGCAATTTTAATGATTTTTTTGCACTTAATATGCAGAAATTGTTTTAAGTTTGCCTTTGTTATTCTTTATTATTCATTTCGTGTTGTTATATATATATAAATTATATATCTGCTTTTGAGAGAAAACAATTGAAAAACACTTTACATTATAACTAGAACCTAAAAAACTGAACATGAGGCTTCTTTTTGCCTCATTATTTGTGTTTGATTTCCATAGTTGTCATTATTTCTGAATTATCCATAAAAGTGGAAAAGCATTGAGATATTATGAGGTTTATAAACAAAAGCTTTTTCTCAAACTATTTTAAGAAAAAACAATAATATCGAGTGTAAATTCGCTTTCATTCTGTGTCACACACTGTAGATACAAACTGTAAAATGAAAAAACTGTAAAAAGTACCATTTTAACCTGGGTGATTTCCTCATTGACTTTTTGAAAGGGTCAAGCATGACTGAATGAATGAACAAAAGTAAAATAGCACTGTGTGGCACAGGACACAGTAATGACAGTAATCTACTAATGCACTGGTCTGACAACTCTGTAACTATGTAACTATGTAACAATGTTACATAAAACCATACTTTGTTTTTGTAAAAAAATGGATGGCGACACGTCAAACGTTTTTGACAGAGCACACGTGTCCGTGTTGGAGGAAATTCTGCTGCTGTGAAATACTGGGTGTTTGCATAAGGAGGAAGTTACAGGTGTCATTACTGGGAAACTGCTAAGATAAAATGAGTGACAGCACAAACCTTAGTGAACTGAGATTACAATAGATGTATTTACAACACGTACAGAAAACAAAGACATTGATTCATTTCAGGCTGACAGAGAAATCTCAACCACTTTAATCAGAGAGATTGAGATTGGAAAAGTTAAAACAAAATACACAAATAAACAAAAGATTACAACCACATCTTTATCTTCTAAACACCAAAAAAAAAAAACAAAAACCTCTAAACCCAACAAAATATACAACTTTTAACCTGATTCATGTTTGGCAGCTGCAGCTCCTGCACATCTCTCTGGGAGCAGGTGTAAAGATTTGACCCAACTGGAACTAATACAAGGTTTGAATGAGTGTGACACCAGCTTCACTCCAAGTCTGAAGGAGTTGTTTCCAGGTTTCTAGGTCCACCAGCCTTGAGCAAACTTTATTGAACACATTTGGAATTATGGGATTATAGGACATGGGTTAACGTGAGTGAGGACCTTAGAGGACTGAGGTCAGAGTTCGTAGATTGTATGTAACACATGTGACTCACGTCTAAAATGTGGTCCAAATATTTCAACAAATGTGAGGCTATTGTCAATGTGTCATCAACATATGAGACCTATCAAAAAATAGTCTCATAAATTCACTATATGTGAAGCTAGGATCAGGTCCTGGTCCAATTCTGGCATCCAGGTTTGGGCCAAATACTGTATGGAGTGGGATCTTGACCTTTGACACCATTTTATTAATTAATAGTTTTTACAGTTTACCAGGGAGAAGGAGAAGAAAAGAGGCTGAGCAGTCAGGCTCGGTGTTGATCACTGGGGTTCTAATGAGACCACACTGTCTCTAATGGTGGCTAGAGGTATTGCAGCTATTGCAGATTTGAAGTACATTTCTAGTACAGTGGAAGTATTCTGCCAACTCATCTCTTTTGTGTAAGACACATCGTTCATATCTCACTCGACCACAGCTATGTGTGAAGTATTATGGGATGAAGAGCGACTGTGATGTCAGAGTAAATGAAGCTTCAAACAACAAGCAGCACAGAAACAGAAACTCTGGAATGACCAGGTCTTGTAAAAAACAAACCTGTTTTCTTTTTTTAAACAAGTCTTACTTCAGCTCGAGGCATAAAAGAATGAACTTGGAGCCCGGTGAAGTGAACATCCATGTCAGGGATCTCTGGCAGTTCCTGGAGAAGACCAGGCCTCGTTACTCATCTGCAGTGACAGACATCGGGTTGTCGTAGGCTGCTCCCTCCAGGTCGTCAACGTGTTTCCTGCGAAACTCTGCAGGAGGTCTGGGCGGTGGATTCTGGGGAGGATTCTTCATGGTTTCCACTGGGGCTTTGACCTCCACTTTTGGAAGAATGGGCATCCATTTTTCACCACGGATAGCTGCCTGTAGAAGAAGTGAAGAACAGAAATACTGAGGCCCTAAATCAATATTACGTTTTACTTGTAACCCCCAGCCTTTTTATATACGACGACAGTGTGGTATAGTGCGCCACCACGTGATAGAATTGAGAAATTACATGTAAATAAACCGATTGTGTACCTATTTAGGAGAATTTGTGATTTTTCTGTTCGCAGAAAGCTGTGCTGATATCACAAAATTTAAAATAGAAAACGTACGTGTAAAACGTAAAATCTGAGCTTCCCTCTCACCTGTGCTCTACATTCAACACGTGTCGCCTTTGAGAACATCCACAGTCTTCATTTTGTAGACCCAGACCACCGTTCGGTTGCTCCAGATTCTCCAGGATTAAATCGATGTTGTCATTTGCACCATCCTTCTGTAACCAGACACGGATGTCATTTAAAAAGGACAAACAAAGTGAGGATTCACATCATCTTTACACGTAAACGCACCTGTCCCTCGTCTGGAGTCCCCTTCTTCTTCTTCTTTTTTTTCTTCTTTTTAACTCTGTCTTCAGACACAGACTGTTCAAGGGAGGATTTACAGAATTTGCACAGATGCACATTAAGAACAGAAAAAACGTATGTTGGTCAAAACAATGAATGAATCACTTTTGTCAAAGGTAATTCTTACCTTGGCTGTTGACGTTTCCTCCTCCATTTCACCAGGCTTGTCACTCTCTTCATTATCATTATGTTCTATGTGACTTGTTATGTTTGAATTTAATTTTTTGGCGTCTTCATTAGGTGAGGTTTTCTCCGCCTCGTTTTCTACGTCGCATATCTGAAAAAACAGTAAAAGAAAAAAAGATTGTCAGACAGCATCACAGAATAGTCTGGTGCCATGCTTTTGTGAACTAAGAAACAGCTGGGTTTTGTCCAGAGAGTGGGCCACACCAGTACTGTACAGTCCATTTTTAAATGGCACGCATTTGAAAAAAGTCTGAGTAGCATGGGCTACACCAGCCTCTGAACTCTTCTAAAGTTAGATGACGAAGTCTTAATTGAACACTGCGGCAGAATGTCTTAATACCTGTAGGTATGCCACTCCGTTACAACCTTTGACCAAGTATTAAAACGACATTTGTCCATGTGTAATAGCTGGTGAGTACGGCGACTTCTCCCTGTTAGCCCCTGTTAGCCTTGCCCTTTTCCATCTCTAATAACGGTTACATTCAAATGTCATGTTTGTTCATTTTCAGCGTTATCTCACCAGTTCGTAGATGTTGCTGACGTTTTTCTGCGCCTTGTTCTTCTTGGCTTTTCGGCCTCTGTCTCTCTTGTCAGCCAGAAAGTCAGAAACATGAGCCACTTCCAGCTGCTCCTCCTCGGACTGCTCCCCATCTGGAGTTAAATCCCCGAGGTCCAGCGCCTCCTGACCGCGCTGTTTACCACGCAGTCTCCGCAGAGCCCGACTGGACATGTCCGCTTCCCAAGAGATAAAGACAATCTGGAATAATGGTGAATTAACCAATGTATGCTAGCTGTCAAACCAAAACACTACTGCTTCTGCTTCTTCTTCGGTAGTTCTACGTCTACACCTTTAAACGGTTTGATCAGCATCTAGGCTCATTACTTCCCCCAATAGGCGACATAAGCAACTGCAATTTTAGCATTGACAAAAGAATTCGCCAAAAAAGTGACCAATGGTACAATAATAAACACATTTGCACAGTGTTGCTAAAATATATTATACATATAAATAAATATTTATTTTTTATAAATAGTTATTTTTCTTCTACGCTACGTCTCTACGGTTGTTCTTAGACAGTTTGGCGTGAGGTGTCGCAGCGATACCACTAGATGTCACCATCTCACTATTCCTTCATTTTAGTTAAAAGAAACCGATGGAACAGGGACACATTTCAAAATAAAAAAAATGAATATACCATATGAAAAAAGAAAATTTTATACATTTTGTGTTTTAACCTGACAATTTATAAAATATAAACTGATTTAAATGTTTGCAATTTTAATGATTTTTTTGCACTTAATATGCAGAAATTGTTTTAAGTTTGCCTTTGTTATTCTTTATTATTCATTTCGTGTTGTTATATATATATAAATTATATATCTGCTTTTGAGAGAAAACAATTGAAAAACACTTTACATTATAACTAGAACCTAAAAAACTGAACATGAGGCTTCTTTTTGCCTCATTATTCGTGTTTGATTTCCATAGTTGTCATTATTTCTGAATTATCCATAAAAGTGGAAAAGCATTGAGATATTATGAGGTTTATAAACAAAAGCTTTTTCTCAAACTATTTTAAGAAAAAACAATAATATCGAGTGTAAATTCGCTTTCATTCTGTGTCACACACTGTAGATACAAACTGTAAAATGAGGAAGTACCATTTTAACCTGGGTGATTTCCTCATTGACTTTTTGAAAGGGTCAAGCATGACTGAATGAATGAACAAAAGTAAAATAGCACTGTGTGGCACAGGACACAGTAATGACAGTAATCTACTAATGCACTGGTCTGACAACTCTGTAACTATGTAACTATGTAACAATGTTACATAAAACCATACTTTGTTTTTGTAAAAAAATGGATGGCGACACGTCAAACGTTTTTGACAGAGCACACGTGTCCGTGTTGGAGGAAATTCTGCTGCTGTGAAATACTGGGTGTTTGCATAAGGAGGAAGTTACAGGTGTCATTACTGGGAAACTGCTAAGATAAAATGAGTGACAGCACAAACCTTAGTGAACTGAGATTACAATAGATGTATTTACAACACGTACAGAAAACAAAGACATTAATTCATTTCAGGCTGACAGAGAAATCTCAACCACTTTAATCAGAGAGATTGAGATTGGAAAAGTTAAAACAAAATACACAAATAAACAAAAGATTACAACCACATCTTTATCTTCTAAACACCAAAAAAAAAAAACAAAAACCTCTAAACCCAACAAAATATACAACTTTTAACCTGATTCATGTTTGGCAGCTGCAGCTCCTGCACATCTCTCTGGGAGCAGGTGTAAAGATTTGACCCAACTGGAACTAATACAAGGTTTGAATGAGTGTGACACCAGCTTCACTCCAAGTCTGAAGGAGTTGTTTCCAGGTTTCTAGGTCCACCAGCCTTGAGCAAACTTTATTGAACACATTTGGAATTATGGGATTATAGGACATGGGTTAACGTGAGTGAGGACCTTAGAGGACTGAGGTCAGAGTTCGTAGATTGTATGTAACACATGTGACTCACGTCTAAAATGTGGTCCAAATATTTCAACAAATGTGAGGCTATTGTCAATGTGTCATCAACATATGAGACCTATCAAAAAATAGTCTCATAAATTCACTATATGTGAAGCTAGGATCAGGTCCTGGTCCAATTCTGGCATCCAGGTTTGGGCCAAATACTGTATGGAGTGGGATCTTGACCTTTGACACCATTTTATTAATTAATAGTTTTTACAGTTTACCAGGGAGAAGGAGAAGAAAAGAGGCTGAGCAGTCAGGCTCGGTGTTGATCACTGGGGTTCTAATGAGACCACACTGTCTCTAATGGTGGCTAGAGGTATTGCAGCTATTGCAGATTTGAAGTACATTTCTAGTACAGTGGAAGTATTCAACTCATCTCTGTTGTGTAAGACACATCGTTCATATCTCATGCCAACTCATCTCTTTTGTGTAAGACACATCGTTCATATCTCACTCGACCACAGCTATGTGTGAAGTATTATGGGATGAAGAGCGACTGTGATGTCAGAGTAAATGAAGCTTCAAACAACAAGCAGCACAGAAACAGAAACTCTGGAATGACCAGGTCTTGTAAAAAACAAACCTGTTTTCTTTTTTTAAACAAGTCTTACTTCAGCTCGAGGCATAAAAGAATGAACTTGGAGCCCGGTGAAGTGAACATCCATGTCAGGGATCTCTGGCAGTTCCTGGAGAAGACCAGGCCTCGTTACTCATCTGCAGTGACAGACATCGGGTTGTCGTAGGCTGCTCCCTCCAGGTCGTCAACGTGTTTCCTGCGAAACTCTGCAGGAGGTCTGGGCGGTGGATTCTGGGGAGGATTCTTCATGGTTTCCACTGGGGCTTTGACCTCCACTTTTGGAAGAATGGGCATCCATTTTTCACCACGGATAGCTGCCTGTAGAAGAAGTGAAGAACAGAAATACTGAGGTGAAGTTAAGGTTGGGTCAAGTGGAAGATACTTTGTTTGTACAGTCCACTTGTATTGTTTGACCTGTTCCCCACTGCATCAAAAAAAAAAAAAAAAAAGGCTTCAGATTGACACCAAGTGATCTTTAAAACTTTTTAAAAGTTTCAGATGCTAAAAATAGGGATCATGGAAACTACACAAGACTGAAAAACCTAGAAAGTACTCACTGAAAAGTGTGCAGACATATATACAGTATAAATATACATATATACAGTATAAATATATATATATATATAAAGTTAGTTAGACTTTTTTCCACGTTTTCCTTTGCCCTAGTAGTGAAGGATGTTACCTTTTCCCTGCCCCCTTGTGTTGACAGGTTATTATATTTTTAATCCCAATAAGGCATTGACCTTTGCCCAACACCTCGATTTCACTCACCGCCAAATTAAAACACCGCTTGTGCAACTTTGCGGATAAGTTTCAATAGAAGTACCTGTAAATGAAACCAACCTCCTTCCTTGTTACCAGCAACTGCTCACTTCCTGCTCACCACTGTGTCAGAGCTGACAATTTTTAACCTGCTAAGGAGGAGAACATTACAGCCCAGGCTTTACAACTTACTGCAAGGTAAATGAGGCTGGCGATACCGAGGCAGACGCAGCCCATCACGGTGGCCAGCATGAAACCTCCAGGCACACAGATTCTGAGGATGAGAGAGAGAGAGAGGGAGAGAGAGATTGTTAAACACTGGACACTAATCTTTGTCCAATAAGTTGACAACTAGTTGAAGGAATGCTGTTGGGGCAGATGGGGCTTTTACTTACGCAGCATGCAAAAATGCTCTGACATAGTAGTTCCTGGTCAGAGGCCCGAAGGCTTTGACACACACAGTGAAGCAGTACTGACCCCTGGGGGCAGAGGAAGACAGACCACTGAGCTTTGGTCAAATCATAATTTTCTCCAAAGGTCAAGAAATCCCTCAAATCTTATGTTGCTTAAATGTTGAGGTAAAGACAAACGTCTTACGGTCTCTCCACACTCGTCCCTTTTGACCGTTTGCTCCTGGGATACTCGAGGAGACACACGAAGACTCCCGCAGCACTGGCTTCCTGTTAAGGCTGATTCAACGAACATAAGTATCCTGAAATAATGTCAATTCTAAATACACATCAACATTTTAAACTTGAAACACATTTTGAATTTTTCACTTAATACACTAAAGCCGTTCAAAGCCTGGCTCCAGGACTAGAGGACAGGTTTAACGTTGCCCAAATGTTATTTTTCTTATATTTACATTTTATGGAATGTAAAATATGTGTACGTGCAAAAAATTGTAAGTGACTGTTTGTTGACAGTAACATTTTTTGTATTCACAGTAAACTTTTAGCCATCTTTCAAATTTAAACTTTGATAATTTGTCTAACATGAACTATTAGCCTTTTAGCAGACTTTTCTTTATTTTCTTACATTTTTGGAAAACGTTTTAATATTCTGAACTGACTGTTAGTTAACAGATGGCTAATTTTTTTTTTGCCATTTCTGCCATATTTTTGATCATATTTGGATAAACATTTTCCATTTACCACATTTATTACCAAATATTTATCCTTATATTTTGAAAGCTTTTAGTTCATTAGCAGCTAATCTGTAGACAACATTTAGTCAAATTTTATATTTATGTATATATATATATATATATAATTATATATATATATAAGATGTATTTGCTCTAACTCTGGTGTTTTCTACTTAAAAATCATTAAAAATCTGGGTTGTTTTGTATAAATCTACTCAAACAGTTTTGTAATTACAGTTATATTAGAAAATACTCAAAAGCATATCTAACACATGATATAAATCTGTTAATATGCAGATAATTTATTGTTTACGTTTTCTACAACCACTGACACAAACGATGTGGAAAAAAAATCATTTTTTAAATGTTTTCTTATTTTTATAAGAACGAATTCCGATCTTAGAAATCATAGAAAAAGCAGCCTTGGGTATTTTAACACTTCTAAATCTGGGACCTCTTGAAAAAGTAGTAGTTAAAATAATAAAACTAAAATTTTAACTCAAACTTTATCAATTCAAATGTTTTTTTTTTGTTTTGTTTTTGTTTTTGTTTTTTGTTTGTTTATAAAAAACAAACAAAAAAACACAGCGTATGCAGCAAACTGCCAACCTCTGAACTGCCCGGCCACCCCCACGATACCTCCAGTGAGGAGAACTGAAAAGAGGAAACAAGAAACACAACTTTAAAAAAAAATAAAAAACAAACAAAAAAAAAATCACGAACGCCTTTTGTGAAATAATAAAAAATGAGAAGCACAGCTTTAACAACAACAGAAGTGAGAAGGAGCAGATATTCTGACGATGCTGCAGCAGGTGTTGTTTCGATGTCAAACTCACTCAGTCCTGAAGCCAGAGCCTGCTCATTAGCCCACATAGCCCACTCTATTTTCCCCATGGTCTTCAGTTACAGCAGCGGTGGCTTCTCCGGACCAGACGTGAACTCTTCACACTTTTACAGCCTCTGATTTGTCACCACAAAGTGACAGAAAGGAGACACGAATATATGACTCCCCCAAACGTGGGATGTCTATAGGTACGTAGCGAAAAGGGGGCGGGGTCGCCACAGACCACGCCCCACGTAAAATCGTCATTTCCTGAGAAACACTTTTTTTTTTTTTACCCAGGTAAAAATCACCTGGTTTACTGCTGCTGATAACGCAGCTGACTAATGTGGTTTATGACTGTGAGGAAATGCAATAAGTGAAAAGGTTTTCCTTTAAATTTTTAGTGTTTTCTTAAAGTTTTTGTATTTCTGTAAAATGTAAAGTAGAATCAATTTAATTACATTAAAGCACAACAGCATGAGCTTGCATACTTACTCTAATTAGTTTGAGAATGTTCCTTTATTTTAGCGAGAGTTCAATTTATAAACCAGAAGTTGCCAGGTTTTGTAACTTTGAATGCATTTCCTGGGTCGTTGCTACATCTGTGATGTCATCAGTCTAATGTTTTTACTATTTTTACCATTTCGACATGTTTACTTACTTACATGAATGTTAATCTGTATTTTTCTGTGATACAGAAATGTAATGTAATGTTTTTAATACAGATACACAGTCATGTTGAAGAAAATATATTTTATTAAAATTGTCTGGACACCATTGATGACACACTGTTAAATATAAATACTTAAAGTAACCTATAAAAGTCGAATTAATTTAAATTAATTACCCTGTGTTTGATGAAAAAACACAGGTTAATTAATGGTGAAATGATTTTATGCTTCAGTGAAACAAAAAAATTCCCTAAACTTAACTTGAACTTACTTACTAACATAACTTTCAGTATGTTATGATTTACTCTTTAAAAACCATCAGAATCACTAGACCATATACTCAAAATAAATGTCTTGATCTTAAAAGTTGAAATAATGTGTATAAACGTCCAGTCCAAAGTCTACCAGGTAATTAGTCTTCTGTCCTTTTACACCACATTTATGTAACACAGAGACCACACACACTCGACTGACTCAGTCTACACACACCCACGGAGGACAGTAGAAGGAGCCACAGTTGAAAAAAATAATTACAAAACGAGACAGTTATTAAAAGCACCTTCCTGTCACTGATTTGCATAAAAACACAACGCCCAAACACAGTGAAGACTTCTGCTAAAAACTGATTTATAATAAAATATAATGTGATGGAAAGATTTTTTGTATCAACCTCTGGGCGACGTACACCTAGTGTGGTGTATGTAAAAAAATGTATTTATTACTTTTTAATAAAAGTCGTACTAATGTGTCATTGTCGAAGAAGTTATTGCTACTGTTTCTCCCGTTGAACATGAGGTCATAATTAAAAAGGCGTCACACTGTCGTTTTAGGCAATCCATTTGATCCAATCAGATGCTCCGAAGGATCCTGCACGACACAAGGTCCAGGTCCAGGCTGCAAATAATAATAATAATAATGAAGTACTTAAGATCAAAATCTTTACTTCTACAAATCGCCATCATCTTTCATTATGTTAAATGACGTTTTTTGGAGATAAAAAGCTGGATACTGTTTTACCTTGGTGCTAATAACGTAGCTTATACCCTTTGGCATGGGTTCTAGACCAATGGCCTTCACTAAGTCCTCTGGAAGAAGAGAGTCTTTTACTGGAAGACCCTTAATGAACCTGCAGACAGAGAAGAGAGAGACATTTAGGAGACACCTGAGATGAGCAGGAAATCTAGACAAAGCAGGTAAACGTCCACTCACTGTCCGCCATTGATCTCTGGAGGAAAGAAATGTTGAACCACACTGACAAACTCTGGGACATGCCGCTCAAGAGTGAAGATGACGGCGTTGGGACCTGCGTCAAACGTGTAGGCGACCTGCAAGGAAACCAAACGTAGTGGTTACGAAACAATGAGGAAGACATTTAAAAAACAAAACACATTTTTGTAAGTAAGAATGAAATCTGTTTAAGTTAAAAAACGTCCAAAATAAAAGGTTTATTTTTCTTAAACATACAAGGAAAACGCAAGCTTCACGTACAATTACGTAACAGGACAATCGATGTCTGTTCTGCACAATATCCGTTTAACTACATGACGGCAAAACCAGTAGTTTGGCCAAGCAACACAAACGATCTTATACCGCCATCTCCTGGTGGCTTCTCACTACTAAATGTACCAGTAAAAACTACTGAGTTTTTACTGGTACATTTACATTTAGAAATCTAACGTTTGAGTTTTTACTGGTACATTTACATTTATGAATGTAGAAGATTTTGTTGTCAGAGCCCCATAGAAACATAATAGACATTGCAGTATTTTATTGATCTGCTAAGGGCTGGCAAGCCTTATTTTTAAACCACTGACTTCTCCAACTGCTTTATATTAATGTATGTAATTCAATATTCAATCCTTTATATAACTGTTAAAAGACAAGCTTAAAGTGTTATGAAAAAAAATGTTGGTGTATTTCAGTGATTGTTTTACCCTGGTCTTTCCGTAATGTGCGTTGTATCTGTGCACGAGGTTGATGACCTGCCGTGACACGTTGTTGAGGTAGAAGATAGGAGGATACGTGTCCAGGCAGGTGGCATGGAACTGGTTACTGTCTTTCATGGTCAGTTCAGCAAAGGTAGTGAAGTCCTTTTTCTGCACAGCGTTGATCATCTGTACCATCCTGTCTGGGACCACGGCGTCAGCTCTGTGCTGCAAGTCCAGGGACAAAGGAGACAAAGACTCTGGTGATCAGCAGAGAACATGCATCAAATGCAGCCTGACCAACTGTATCAGGACACACTGACAACTTTGTTAGTGCGCTCAATAAAAACAAGTGAAGTAATTACCTTGAGGAGGCAGCTTGTTTGTACACTGGTCTGCATCCCTGAGGTGCTGCCCACGAGTTTACGCTCAGCACTGGCCTGTTAGGAAAAAAAAATACTGCAGTGATGTGTTTTTTCTGTTTATCATAGATTTTCTCATTTCAAGTTCTTTGGTGTTTTTTAGTTGATGCAGATCAACAAATCAAATTCATATTTTACAACAGCTCTAGTACATATATCACAGTTTATATTAAATTTGATTTTTTTTTGTGGATCACTCAGTGTAGATGTAAACACCAGGTCTAAATGAGGCTCACTCTCAAAAAAAAAAAAAAAGGAAATACTCAAACCTACCACAAGTACAAGAATTCTAAGCTCCGGCCAGTGGGTCTCTGGCTCCACCTGCTGGGCTAAGCTGTCTTTGCCGTCGTCGTCTTTTCCCATGATCCACTGCACAAACCCTCCATACATACTCCTGCACGCACTGCCTGAGCCCTGTCGTGCGATTCCAGACAGTTCTCCTTCTACGCCAAACGCCTGAGCCAGAGTGTACACTGAAAGGAAACGACCGACAGAGAAACATCAGAAAGACTCTGACTCTGTATGAACGCCCTGTTTGAGTACAATAACCTTGAACACTCACCTAAGCAGGCGAATCCTGCAGCTGAAGAGGCCAGACCTGCAGCTGTGGGGAAGTTGTTGACCGAGCAGATGTGGACTCTTTGAGACAAGCCGGTCAAATTCAGACCAGCGTCTCCATCACTGCGTCTCTTGCGTGCCAGTCTACGAACTTAACACAGACACAGAAGAATTATGTCCCCTTTATTTTTTAATAAAAAAAGCAGTTGTTTTCATTTTTCCAGCCCTGAAAAACAGAGTGAACTCACTCTCCCTGAGACAGGACTGCAGTCTTGAGTGGTTAATATCCTCCTCTTTGCCGTTGAGCCATAGTCGATCCTCCAGGAACGATCTGCTTGTTGCAACTGTCGTGGTTGTTTTGAGCTTAAAGGTAGTCAGAAAACTTGACTTTATTAACAACAGTTAATGTGATGTCAAAGATACACATTTACAGACAGTCTTTTACTGCAGCCTTTCATAATATGTCACATTTATTTGAAACCCTTATATCCAAATACCTGGTCTTGGTGTAGGGTGACACTCAAAGATGAGTTGATGGGCAGGATTAAGTCTTCATCTCTCTTCCCCCCTGAAAAGCACAGCACTGTTAGTTTCATGTATATATCACATATACACAATTTATATACAATCCCTGTATTCATACTTAGAACTAAATACAAACAACATACAAAAACTGTAAAGACCATTAGGACAAATGTGTTTTGTGAGTTTGAGCTACACAAATACAACTGACTTGACCTGACTTGATACAATATACTACGTTAATATGCGAAATACTGTATTGAGAAGAGAGCTAAATGTTTAGCTTAACTACTAAGTGCTATGAACTTTGACAAACTATACGCAAGACAAATATTCTGGCCAAAAAAGTGGCTGAAAAATTGCTAAATTAGCCACGTTAAAGGCTAAAGGTTAGCTACCTGTTACTATGATGATAACAGCTAAAAGCTACCTTTAAAGAAAATTTAAAAAGTTATCCGCTAGTCACAAGCTGCGATTGAAAAAAAGATTCGAAGGTATCCCGAACTAGTAAAGAAAATTAATCAAAATACCCGACTGACACATACTGAAAGGAGAAAGCACTCGCGTAATACATCATTTATAGTATAGTAGTAACAGTTATTCAAGAAACGGCGACACGAAAGTAATCGTTCAAACAGTATAAACCAGATACCTCTGCTAAAACACATGTAAACAAACTTACAGTATTTTATGACAGCTATATTCACAGGAGCGGTGCATGTGACGGTGTTCATCGGGTCCATACTCTCCTCTTCGGGCATGACTGTACATAAACTGACGTATAAACAGACAAACGTAAAACTGGACCACTATCAATCCAACACTACACTGATTATCAGGTATTTCACCGCTTTCCTCTCACCAACTCAACCTTGCTGCACGCGTTGGTTAGCTCTCCAACTACTGGCTGGTTCTGGACACGTGACGCAAGTCTCCGCAAATTAGAGTCGAGGTTTGTTGACGTAGTATAGCAGAAAGCCAATGAGAAGTCATCTGACCACGGTCGTCCGAAAATGGGGCAACGACGTAGACCCGCCCACTAAGAGTGGGATTTACAACAACCGAATGTGTATTTTAACAACATTGCAAGATAAAAACTATAAAAACGTAGCTTTTTTTAAAAGAAAAATTCTAGGTTAATAAACTACCCGCTTTTTTTTTTTTTAAACTTTTATACCGGAATACAGGGGTTAATTTTTTTAAAAAACTTTTATACCGGAATACAGGGGTTAGTTCATTTATCTTGAAAACATTTACTGAAGCAGGTTTAAAATAAAATTGACCGAAGACGATGTAGTTACCCAAAAGTAACACAACCTCTTTGTAATTAACTAACTTTAACACTGAAAAACCTCACCACAAGCATTTTAAGGAAAAATTCACTTATTACCAGATTAATTGTTGAGCACCATTGCACATTTCTGACGTTCTGAGGATTAAAAAAAAGGAAAGTGTATAGTCTTTGTTAACACAAAACCAAACACTGAGTTAAGGCTTCTTTTATTATTTTTATTGTGTAAACTTTTGAGACAGATGTCAGCAAATGGAAATGACAGTATTAACCTTTACATTTGCACCATCCAAGGTGGAAGCAGTTTAGAAAAATAACAACTTTTCTATTCCACTCATACAAGTGTGGTATGAGTGGAATAGAAAAGTTGTTATTTTAAAGAACTGGTGGAGCCATTTGTTGCTGCGGTTTTCAGGGATATAACAACAGAAGCACATTTTTATGTAACCAGAAGATCCTCAATATCATTTGACACTGGTTGTATTCCACCTCCATCACCAGGATGTCAACTTAATGTCCTTTTCTTTTTTTTTTACATTTGACATGACATATCAATTCCAGAAACAAGTAATATCTGTCCAGCATCCCAACAATCAGCTCTTAGGAATAAACTGGCAGAGATTCTAGGAAAGTCCAAGTGCAGCATATCCCGATTTTTTTTTCTTCCGGTAATTCCAATTCGATTTTAGTCGTCGTCTTCTTCGTCTGAGTCCATGACCTTCCGTCTGTTAAACTGAAAGAGAAAATATGTTCAAAAAAGACTCAAACATAAAAAAAAGTATCAATCAAAACATTTGTGTGGAGCTTACTTTAACCGTCGTCTTTTTCTCTGTTTGCTGGCTCACTTTTTCAAGGATTTCAATTAAGCCCGTCTCTGAAATCTAAAAAACAGAGAAACCTGCATTAGTACAAGTACACATTTCAAGACAAGACTGTTCATGGCCAGACTTCCATAACATTTACAATTTTGTTGTTACCTTTCCTCCTAAACTCCCCATGTGAGCCATTTGAATGAGATAGTTTTCAACCGCCTTGGCCTTTTCTGGCTTCACCAAAGCAAGATTACTTACTGAAAAGAAAGAGAGCGCATGTGAGTTTTTAAATGACTCTGGGACAGTTTGACAGAATATAATATACTCCTGAAAGCAAACTTACGTCTGGCACGGGCAGACTGGTCAAGAACCTGGGCCAGTATAGAGTTCCTCATTTCTGATTCTCTGAAAAAATCAGGACAATGTCACATCAGGTCAACGTATTTAGGTCACAAATCATTTCATAAGGGTTTTTTTTTTTTTTTTTTTTACAAAATGTAACAATACTTTGTAGGATATTCACCTCTGTCTGCCCTCTTCTTGCTGATTCTTTGAAGTATCCTGAAATATTTACAGTTACAGGCATTATTATATAAACCAATTCACACTTTTGTAGTGATGTCCCTTAGATTTATTTAATAATCTCAAAATTATATTAATTGTCAATATTGATATGCTGTTTAAAAAAACAATCATGAAGACCAAAACGAGTATAATTCTAAATATATATATATATAAAATCGTCATCGATCGTCTCTGCAGTTACTTTACAGATGCAACAAAAACGTATAAAGATGGTGTTTAGGTTTGCAATGATGCGGTCTATTAGTAAATAGATAGAAACATACTGTGAAGTGAACTATTTAAACCATCCTGCATTATGACAATGCTATTAGACGGGGCAGAATCAACGCTAACAGTTTGCATTGTCGTGTTTACCGTCCTTCAACTACTATCATTACACGGATAATACTTGTATGTTTGTAAACCTCAGGGTTCAACATGTGTTCATAGATGTTTCCTGTGAAAAACCAACATTGGTTGTGTTTTTTGTGACTGATTTAGCTACGTTAGCTTGAAGCACAGAGAACCCAGCAGCCCCTTATAAGGCGGCGGCTGACACGCTGCACTGCTCGGGTTTAGACTTACTCCTTGCTTTGCCTGCAGTTCCGCCATCCTCTGCCGCCTTATCGCCTCTAATTCGTCGTCTGCCATGTTTTAAAATAAAACCAAAGAGCTAGAACACTGAAAGCGAGTAAGAAAACGTGGGGGAAAAGCTCAAAATTTTATTCCATTAGCGTCAAAGGCCCTTTCACTCTGTTCAAGACAAAGCAATCGATGTCTGCGAAGTCGATCCAGTACGGAGGGGCTCAACAATCGAGCACAGATCGTTCGCATTTTGACTGTTTAAATAAATTATTCATTTCAATAATTAATCCATGAAAATGTCAAATAAATTTCACTTAAATTCACTTTTTGGTAGTACTGGAATGTCGTCGTATAATTGTGTTTCTTTATCAACTCTGCACTCTCTCCGTTGATGTAACACATTGAAAAATAATACGCCTTGATGTCTGTGTAAGTTCTCAGTCATGCAGGTGATCTCATTTCATCAAGGGCAGCTGGTTTCTTGAAGACGTTTCACCTCTTATCCATGAGAAACATCTTCAAGAAACCTAACCGGTCTGTGTACAATAACTGCTTCGAACAAACCCGAATGTAATTTTTATTTTGGCCAACAGGGGAGCTCAAATACGTACTCATTTGAACAGATTCTATGTTCACGACGTTTATTGTTATGTACATTGTGAGAATGAAGCATTCAAACAGTGGAATGAAACTCTGATATATAAAAGCACAGGAATGAACCACCAAAGGCAGTAACAAAACACTAAATTATCAGAAATAAATGAGCTAAATTAAAATCAGATGAATTGTCCTGTAGATGGACTCCTCATCCTTGTCTTCTGCCCCTCTATCCATTTTAATGTTAAGATGTTTTAATGTTTAATGTTAAGTTTTTCTCACTCTTGGTCGAACCAAAGAAATACAGCTTTTCTGAATTAAGTCACATTATTTACCCATTTTCTAATATTATTTTGTATTCTATATTACAAAAATGATTTGTAAACTTTTACAAACTAAAAAACTTTTAACTAAAAAAAAACAGAGCTCTTGTATACAGACAGAGAACATCAAACATTGCTACTTCCAAGTAATACATTTTTTATTACTTACAAATCCATATGACCCATCTTGGATCAGATTCTAAAATGTGATATTTATACATTTTTTATTACTTAGAAATCCATATGACCCATTTTGGATCAGATTCTAAAATGTGATATTTTAAAAAGTGATGTTTATGAGGAATTTTGCTGCTGGCTGAAAGATGGAGACGCCCGTGGCCCCTGCCACGTCATTTGACCTCTAGCTCCCCCTGTATGTACTGTAGGAGAAACGGCTGAGCAGCAGGGGGATGTGGTACTTCTGCTCAGTGTTTGTTATAGTGAAGACAATCTGTAAGAGACGAGAGAACACAAAGAACTGCAGAATGAAGTTTTCATAACAACTCTGTGTAGAAGAAGTTTCCTCGAAGGTCAGTGCTGTCAATCACCAACTCAATGAAAAATAAGAAGTCAGTTTTCCAGAGGAAAAGTTATCAGTAGGTGAAGATAACATATCACTGTCTATTAGTCTGGCTCTAGACTATGTACAGTACAAAAAAAGACACATTTACAGTCTTTTTTATATATGTTATATTACTGTATTCATCCAAATATAGGACAAGTAATTTTTTATAGTTTTTTTTTCGTTGAAATTAACATGATATAACAATCCGTCTTATAACCCGCGACTAACCATTGACACATGCTGATGGCTGTCCTGGTGGTCATTACACGACCGCAACAGCAGAGGGTGCCAGCGTTTTGTATTGTTTAACTGCACAGCTGTTTAATGCAACAATGTGTTTTCTGTTTCTTCGTCCAACTGCTCGACTAATAAAGAGATCAACCTGCAGCTCAGTGACAGGCATGCTAACCGCTACACTGTGAAACCAAAACCTCGTTCTATATTCCATATACTTAGGTAATGATACATCCATCATTGAGGCTCAGCTGTAATATTGTCAGTGTAGCACTGTTTGGTTCTTGCTCTCATATTTTTTTAAATCTCTTTTCACCCACAACATGTATCCTTACAGAGCACATAAAACCTGTAACACATTGTCACTGCCTCAAACTGTCAACCGATACTGTTTATAGAACAGAACTGAAGCACAAAAGCACTTAACACACAGCAGAAGATTCTTACCTCAACGTAGGGATAAAAGCAGGTCTCCCCCAAGCTCGCCCAGTACCCAGCTGTCTCAAAATACAGTTTGTACACACCAGGTGTGAAATTCTCTTTGGTAATGAGTCCTGGGCAACGTCCGTCTTCATTAGTGATTCTGTGGGGATGAACAACAAGTCAGGAACTGTGAACTGTGGGATAAACAGGAGTAATGACTCTGTTTATTGACCTTTCTTGATCTATAAACAGTAAAAGTGGTATTTTAAGGTATCACAAAATCACGTGGGGTGCAAAAAAAAAAAAAAAAAAACGCATCAAAATAGTTTACAGCGGGGAATGCATTGTTTGTGATTCGTTGTTCAGTGATTCAGTTTGTTTTCCTTGGGCTCCTTTGCCATAAAATACCATCAAATGTAAAGGTCAATCCAGATGTTTTTTTTTTAGTGTTGTGTTTGAGTCATTGTTGCAGGTCATTTACCCTGTAGTTATTTGTGTCCAAGCATTTGTACATGGGTCCTGTCGATGCAGAAAAAGGATCATGTTTGATCCTGGGACCCCCATGGCGGTGTTCAGCACATGAGTGGTGAGTGGACTGGGCGAGCCTGCCATCGCTGTGGGCTGAAGAAGAGGGGAAAAAAAACAGAACAAAAATCTTCTTGATTTAAAAACACCTGTGATCCCACTATAGATTGTAGTCCATGACATTATCACGATCATGTAACTGCTTTCATTTTGAGTTATTGGTGTGTATATAGTAATTTGTACAGGGAAAGATGGAAATTAAAATGCCAGGCACTACAAGGTCCAAAATAAATTAATTTACAGATGGGTTTTACATAGACTGGACCTAATGGACCCAAAGGGCAAGAGTCTCACAGATTAACAAGAGCAGGTTAATAACCGTCAGGATGATGGGGAACAGATGAAGTTAGTTTGTTTACCTCCAGTGAAGCACAGGGGGGAGGGGGAGTTGTAATGGTACAAACAGCATTAATCTTTTGGTACAGCAGCTTAATCTAAGTAGATTAAAAAGTAATGTTAAAAGTAATTTATTTTACTTTTTATTTCTTCTCTAGGGATTACAAATGTAGATCTCTCCATTCCAATTTTAGTGATCTGAGGTTCAGGATCTGTATGTTATAGCGTTGTGTGTCTACTATCCTGACAATTTTCCTACAATTAAATTGTTTTTAAATAAAAAAACCTCAATATACAGTAATGCCTATAGTATTTTTGTACATCACAATATTTTGTTCTTGCTTAAAACTAAAAGTTAACAGTTTTATGTACTATATACAAGCCTGTGGGTGTTGGTAATAAATTACTTATAATGTCCTAGTTTTGCTCAAATCAATATTTTTCTACTCACCTTATGATCAGGCAGAATGTGATCCTTCAGCGTCTGCAGTCTTTTCAAACTCATGTGCAACAGCAGATAAAAGCTAAACTGATCCAGTGACGGGACGTTACTTAAACATCGTCTGCTAACACATGAGCGTCACACATGTGAGTGCAGCCGACTCCATTCAGCACTGTAAACACACCAGACATGGGTTGATCTTTTGTCAGACTGGTTTTGTAAGACTTCCTGTGAGGTCACACTAGGGCTGCAGCAAAAGAAGAAGAAGTGTGGAAATAAACGGTTCTTTTAACTTCACACTCGTGACGACAAAAAGACGTTTCTTTTGTTTGGATATATTAACTTGTCTAGTGACTGCAGGGTTAATCAATCATTATTAGTCTTTCCTAATCTACAGACAGCCATGTGCTTCCCCTCCCCTTCCCACACGAATACGAAGTGATTAGAAAATATGATCTAACTGTAAGGTTAGATTTGTGGTAAAACAAACTAGAGGTGGATTCACTACATCATTAAAGAAGTGTTGTTTGGTTAGTTTGTTGAATCAAAAAATAACAACATTCACAGAATAAAATTAATATATTTCTTAAACAGAGAGCAGCCCTGCGTCACAGAACTGACTAGAACTTCACAGAATAAGTGAATCTTTTTTTTAACAGAAGTGCAAACAGAAAGTCTGTGGAAAATTTGTAAACATAAAATATTTGTGCCTCAAAGGCCATGACTGAAGGGTGTAAGTCTATGGTACAATGTGCTTCAAATAAGTTATCGCTCACTGTATTTGTTTTGTTTGTTTTTTCCCATTCCTACCTGTACTTTTGCAGTCCTTTTGCTGAGTTGTCTTCCGGTATCTTCTTGACATCGACCTTACCTCAACCAATGATTCGTTGTTGCTGTTGTCTTCCGGTATTTGACATCGACCTTACCTCAACCAATGAGATAAGCGGGATTCTGTATCGTCATAATCGTGTGCGAGTGTGCTGTCAGCTCATTGGTCACAGAGCGGGAGCGCGTCTGGAGATAACTTTACCGTACATTTGTATATAAAGCGCTCTGTTATTCAGTAATTAAAATGACATTTTTCAAACTATTTTTGATTCTAACGTTTATACGGGACAAAGTGCACTTTCAGCTCAATACTGGACGCGCATTCTTGTTTCTAAATACGGAACGTATTTCACGCGTTGACAGCCTTAGTTGAGTGGTTCAATAGTTAATTCATTGGTTCACTGGCTGCTTTACGGTTGCTTGGTTTGCTGGCGAAATGGTTGGTTACTGAATGGTTGACAGGGTGGCAGGTTGATTGGTCGTTATGTTTGTTTATTATCTGGTCTGTTGGTTGATTGGTGTTTTGGTTCGGTAATTCGTGGAATCATTGGCTGGCAGAACGGTTGGTTTGTTAAGTTATTGATTAAATGGTTGTATTTGATGGTTGATCAGTTGTTCACTTGGCTATTCAGTTACTTTATGAGTACTAATTTGGGTCACTAATTTATATAGCTTTATGTACCAACACTTCCATGGTTCTGGCGTCCTATTCGTCACATACTGTTGTAGTACTTTTTCAGTTTTTGCGGGAAAAAAAAGAAAAGAAAAAACAGACACCACCAACATCAACATTTTGAGTCAATATGAAAATACTTTTACTACTGTGACAATGAGTATTTTCACTTGGCTTAACTCTAAATTGTAAACCAAACCGAAAAACATGTAACATTATAAGAATAATATTAACATTATTGTTGTCTTAAAATCAAAAAGGTCCTAAAACAAGACTAAACGTAGACAGTTACAGTTTTAAGTTTTACAAGAATACACCATATTACACACTGACTGGCCTTTCACTGCTCACAGTGCCAAATACAAAGTAGAAGAGTGGCTTTTTTTTCAAGTTATTAATATGAAGTTGATACATTTTTTTTATTATTGGATGTTTATAGATGTAGGAGAAATTAAACACTGGAGTAAAACATTGTTTTCAACCGGGTCATTAAAAAAGGTTGGTTCCTTCCACAGGAGATTTATCTGTGTGTGGACCATATATATATATATATATATGTCCTACTTTGAAATTTAGATTAAACATTAGGATGAGTGGTTACTACACAGTGAATTAGTCTGGCTTAGTATTGGGTCACATAATAATAGGCCTTTTAACGAACAAAATGTAGTGGTTAGAAACTGGAAGTAACTCAAAACAAAAAAAACCCCTCATCTGTCCCTATGTTAGCTCATGCTAATTTTCATACTAATACTAATTCATATGACCTCAGGCCTGTGATTCAAAGCTGTCGAGTGAACTAGAGGGTATGTGGGTTTTTTCACAGGGAGGGTAATTGGTTCTGGTCATGTCCCGGCTGTTCAAATGAATGGAGCTCAATGTATTGTCCTAATCTAGGTCAGTGATTTGCATTTAGCATTGAAGCACAGTCACACAACCAAGCTCTTGTGATACTGAACTAAATGTGGTCAGGTGTCTGACATGTGCACCCAATTAGGACAACAGTGCTGCTGTAGATTGTTGTTGTTGTTGTTGTTGTTGTTGTCTTCGACAGTGGTTGGCACTCCAGTCTACAACTGCCCAATCTTCCGGTGCTCATATTTCCTCTTCAGGGTCAAAGCTGTGGCTGCTCACCTGTGACACACACACAGTCCTGACAATTAGCTACCACCTGGACAGACTGGCTGAATGTGATCAACAAATATTACAGAATTTGCAGTCAGTGTCCATCAGTACTGAATGATGTACTGTAGACCAGAGGTAGCGATGCATTTACCAAGTGGTGGTCCTGATAATCGTCATCAGATTCCTTCAGGTCAGGAATGTCCCTGAGGATTTGATGGTGGGAGCTGGGAGGAGAGAGAGAGGAGAGGGAGTGGTCCGGGCTGCTGGACGACAGAGCGTAGGGTGAGCCGACGGGACTGTCCTCTCTCAGTGGACACCCTGAGATGGGTGAAATATTATATCTTGGTTAAAAATGGTCATTTTTGGAAAGAAATCATTTTCTAATTAGAGTCATTAGATCTTGACCTGAAAATCTTTGAATTTATGTTTTTACTAATTTGATTAATTGCTGTTTAAGGCATACTCTTTTTTTGTAAATTTATTATAATTGGTTATCTAATGTTACTTTTTGTTTTTTAAAAAACGTTCAAAAATGTAATTAATTTTTTTAAAACATTTATCTTTACGGAAAGCCTAATATTTACTTTCCCTTAGCTTTATTTTATCTTGGATTTCTTTTACTAAACTAAATCGGCCACAAGGTGGCAGCAGCGGCTCTACTGAGATCGCTGTCATCCGTCTGCGTTTATAAAATGTCAAAGAGCAGTTGCGTTAAAACCAATTTGAATCCTGTTCCAGCACACTGTCCTCATTGTTAGCTGCTGATTTGGGCTTCAACTGAACCAGACAAAGAAAAACCCGACTGAAAAGTACAACGACTGAATCTCCAGCTGTGCTATTGGCTCCTGAATCATTCTGATTGGGGTTGGGACTTCTGCAGCTAATCAAGCAGAAATCTGAAAAGGCCCTGGAAGTCAAGTCTCATCTTGAAAAATGTTTTGATGCATGAAGTTTCAGTTTCACGCCTGCCGACCCTCCCACTGTCTGCATCCATGAGTGTCTCACCCTTGTGGTCACTCCTGTGCGTGTCCATCCTTTCGAGGCTGTCGAGCAGCCCATCGATCTGTGTCTTTATCAGAGTCAGCTCCTTTTTAATCACCTGCAACTCCTCCATCCCCACTGCAGGCACAGAGAGAGGGTGAGGGAAGGGGTGAGGGACAATTTGGGGGGGGGACGTTATTACACCTGCTGCAGTTTTAGATGAGCTGAATGTTAACCAGCATCTGTGTACTGTAGAAGAGAAGTGTGATCATTAGTCTTTTGGATGCAAAAGTCAAGCAGTCTAATCTTTTTATCAACTTTTTAGAACAAATTTCTCTGTGTTTCTTTTGTTTTCCTTTTTTCCTCTGAAAAAGAAGAAAAATCCTGACCCCTTTTTTGTGTTTTCTTTTTTTGTGAGGAGGGAATCTAAGAAACCAAGAGACGTGGAAAATGTGGACAAGCATTATTAGTCACAGTTGAATAAATTAGCATATGATCCATGGAGCCTCCGTCCTCATGGCAACCATTTTGGACAAGGACCATGAAAATGATGTTTGATGTCTATTAGTCCAGGAGTTCATGATCGGAATCATTAGCATTTAATTTTCTCAAAAAGTCCACTTTATAAATGTTCTAAATGATGACTCTCAAAGAGAACGACGCTCCATCTTCACTCTCTGTGTCCTCTGTGACAATTAGTGATGTCAAAATGGCCGCGTTAATCTGAGGCCGGACTACCATGGCCGAGGACGACAGCTTCAACGATGTTTTGGAAGTAACTCTCAACACAACATCATCTCAACTATGATCTGATTTAATCCAACAGAAAGAAGAAAGTTTGAAGTGTTTGACAAACACCGGTTTTTAAAAAAATTCTCCCTCGATCGTGTAACTCACGTTTCGCCGTGGTTGAACTGGTGGAGTGGCCTCTGGAGCCTTTGGAGTGGGTTCTGTCTCGACTGCGTCTGTGACCAGAGAGGTAAGAGGACGAACGTGATCTCTTGGCCAAACTGGATCCTAGGGATGAAGGAGACATGGAGGCAGGGACACGCTGGTAGTCGTACGTCCTGCAAAAAAGGAGCAGAATCACGATGCGATTCTTTCATGAAACTGGTTTGTTTGTTCACGGGTCTGAAGGACGGCGTGAATCACAACCGAGCATGAGCCTGTGATGGACAGCAGAGACGCGGCCCCTTTGTTTTTTGTTTTGTTTTTGTCAGTCTGTCTCATCTGTCTGCCGTGTCTGTGAGGATGCAAAGCTTTTAAAGGCGTCTACAGCTGCCGCCTGTGATGACTTTACTTTTTCTGTCCAGATCGATAAACAGCACACTACAACGCTGTTGAAATCTAGGACACAGGGTGGAATCTCTCTCTCTCTTTTTCTTTTCGGCGGAGAAAATATGACCTTAAAACAGAGTTGTCTGCAAACGTTAATCATAAAGTTTTATTGAAAACCTTTCTATTCCACAAGATAACAAGATATAGGTCAGCTGATTCAAATTGAACACATTAAGTTTAATTGATTTCATTCTGCTGCTGGTAGTGTTTAGAAAAATCTAGGTCATGTTCATCTGAACAGACACTGTCTCCGTGGTAACGCTTTTTTTTTGGCAGAAATGTAACTTCTTAACCCCAACCCAGGAACCTGTATAAAAAAATGTTGCATTTGAATAGGATTTCTTAATTATTTAGTGTTTTTTTATTATTCAACAACTTGGCCGAACACTAGGTCCTTGTTTAAATAAACTAGTTGTTATTGAAACGCTGAGCAAATCATTGAAATATTTATCATTTTTTACTTCAAATACAATCACTAAGATTTGTATTATAAATCTAACACCTAAATGTAAATGTAATCTAGCGCCCTCTGCTGTTGCGGTCGTGTAGCAACCTTGGACTTTCAGCACGTGTCAACCGTTGAAGCCCGGTTATAAGACCATAGTTTTTCACATCATTTTCAATGAAAAAAACCTTGTCCTACATTCGGGACAATAAGATAAGTACGATAAATATTGTCAAGCAAATATTTCTTAACTACATTTTTTTGATTTTTTTTTGTTACAAGACAAAGGGCTATTTCTTTTTGAGCAAAACTTCATTTTGCGTCAAACTTGACGACACATGATGAGATTGTTGTAAAGAACCAGACGAACAAACTGATGGTAAACTAATGTCATGTGTGTCCCCTGTGACAGCATCACCAAGAGGAGGGACAAAGATGCTGAAAGTCTGGAAATGTTGACTAAAGATTGGAGCGCATTCAGCTAAGTTTCAAATAAGTCTGTCTTCTATTCCATCTTATTCTCTCTATCTCTGCCTCTGTCTTCTATCTGCGCTGCACTTGCAGAGCCTGCTCCCCGTGGACAGCTCCATGTTTCTATCTGTCGCAGAATGTAATTGGTTCTGTCAGAGCCAATCAATAGATCCCCGCCGTGCAGCCAGTGCAGCTGACAGCGGGGGAATCACAGTCGCCCTCGCTGTAGCCACAGAAATGAACCTGCATTTCTGCATTTGTGTCTTTTTTTGAAAAAGAAAACAGAGCTGGTGTTATGATTGTCTGATCCGCTCTCACGGCAAAAGAATAAAAACCCAATCGATTTTTTACTAAAAACAGCTGCTCGGAGCCTCGGAGCTCCGTTAAACCAGACATTTCAGAGGTTTAGGTGGAGTTACAGCTGCTGTTAAAGACACAGAGACTCAGACCGGATGATTTACCTGGTGCAGTTAATGCTTGACTTTTTTGTCGCACAGTTCTTTAGCAGATTCTCTCAAGGTCACAGTGACCTTTTCATTCATTCCTGCAAACCTCTGAACCAAAGGCCTGAAAAAGTTATTGTATGATGTTTGGTGGAGTTGTCCACCCAGCTGGAAATTCCTGCAAACCTCTGAACCGAAGGCCTGAAAAACGTATTGTATGATTTGGTTTGGTGGAGTTGTCCACCCAGCTGGACAAGGTCAGCTGACTTCACTGTGTCCTGGTGTGTGACGCTCAACATGAACAATTTATAAATGTGAAAAAATTACTACTGATAATATGTCCTGGTTGCACCAGTGTGTCGTTCAGGCGAATGCTAAGCTAATTTATAGAACAAGTAAGGATTTCAATCTCCTTCAAAGAAACACACAGTGGAACATTGGTTTTGAACTTAATTTCTACCCGAAGGTCGTTTCGTGAACCGAAAAGTTTGAAATCTAAAACAATTTTCCCCCTAGGAATCAATGTCAAATGGATGAATCCATTCCTGGAACCGGATATTGTTGGCTCGTTCAACAACCAAGATTGGGTACGGCAACCAGGGCAATTTTTGGTGAAAAAATCAAGATTGTGTACAACAACCAGGGCAATTTTTGGTGAAAAAAATGTGTCGTCCAGAGTGCAGTAGTTCGACAAACAGACATCGACAACGAGGCTCAAGTTCAAACCAGCATGACACATTTGTTCTGGTCAACACCCATGATTACCCATCACACCATGGCCAACTAGTGGCCAACTAAGTACAAAACAATGGGCGGTATTAAAACAGGAATGATATCATGGGATCCAGTGTAAAAAAGCTGGGCCAATAAGATTACATGGATTACTGCAGTGGTGACCTCTGGTGACCTCTGGGAGAGTTCGTGCAGTACGTCAACAATGGTAAAATAGACAAACAGCCTGAAAAAACACATCACTTCAGACAGCAGCGAGAAACGGCTCCTGGTCCGTCCACAGATTCTGAACGTTCTGACGGTAATCCGGGGGGATCTCGTTACAATCTGGATGAAGGACAATTTGTGCGCAGTTAAAGCGTTTTCTGCGAAGTCCCCGGGAGTGTTGTATTTCATAAGCAACATGAGGTCAGAGCTGTCAGCTGCGAGGGCCGTGAGCAGCGCCCTGGTGTAGATTTACCGCCGCGGCCGTTAACCAGTCAATTAGCGGCGGCTCGGCTGTTGTTTTCTGCTCTGTAATACCGTGTGCAGCCTCCGGACTCAGTGGAGAGGTTTGTTTGCTCAGCACGTACACGCGGACACACACACACACACAGAGCTACCTCAATGTCACGTAAGGATGAAGCGTATTAGACCACCCTAAGTGTGGAAGATTAGGGGCTTTGAGCGGTGCCCATGCAGCGAGTCGTTGAGACCGAATACTTCTGGGAGTCTGAAGTCTTTCAGAGCAGTTTGCAGGGGCGGTCCGACGCTGTGTTGTTGAAGCGGCTTTCAAGTGTCATCTCCAAGAATGGAGGCTTAGACAATAAGAGACTGTGGACGAGGGAGGATTACAGACAAGTCTACCGGTGTGTGTGTGTGTGTGTGTGTGTGTGTGTCTGTGCGGATAAGACCCCGCACTGAAAACAGCTTTGAGCTCGGGCTGACATCAGGGCTGACATCAGGCTGACATCTGTGTTGAAAGTCACTCTTCTTTCATGTTTGCACAAGAGAACCAGGGGATAAATAAAAAAAAAACAGTCATTTCTCTCTGTCCTAATGCAAAAATGTGGACAAACAACAAACAACAAACAACTAACACACACACATACGCACACACACACGGTCTCATCTTCACCCCCAAGGCAAACACATGTGCCTGTGCTCACATAAATATAACCGTGCACAGCCCGCAGTGGTGCTGGCCAAAAGCAGGGGACATAATTATGCACTGTGTTGAAAACAAATTAAAAATCAGTGGCGAGTGTTTCCCCCTGAGCATAGGCATAGAAACTGCAGAGGAAAGCAAATCAAAGGTGGTGGGGGGGGGGGGAAGAGAAGTGACAGTTTTACCCCACAGCGGTCAGAGGCTTGATGCATGTGTGTGTGTGTGTGTTGTGTGTGTTGTGTGTGTGTGTGTGTACAATGTCACCGCATGCTTTTATTTAGCTGTGAGAAGTGCTGTTTTCATGAGGTGATGAAAGTTGGTCCCCGAGCACTTTCAGCTGAGGACCAACAATAAAGAAGGTACGTCCCACCACCATTTGACTGTAACCTCTGCCCCTCACACAGAGAGCCGGTCCCTGACAGGTCCAAACACGAGGACACGGCCCGACTGACGAACGCAACTGAACGAGTTTGTGAAACGGCATTTCAAAGACTTTTACTTTATATATTTTTTTTATATATATTTTTGGGCATAAACAATGAATGTATCCACCCCGTGGGGCTGCAGGCCAACTGTGAGTCACACACATCCCGACCCAGTGGTCAGGCCTCTCTGTTGGCAGGTCAAAGACAAAGTCAATCCCACCAGGCATCGTGAATCACCGCCGCATGAACTGGAAACAACGTGAAAAAATAATCTGGGTCACTGGAAACATTTTCACGTTGGCACAAAACTGCAGGGGGCAGTAATGGAGCATGTAATATATGTTATTCAAATCTACATAAATATATTAACTATTCACTGAATGTAACTGAAAATTAGTTGGAAAAAAAAAACCCAAAGCCAAACAGAAACAAAAATAACCTTGTCGTTTCTGTCAATGCTCTGAGTCATTCAAAAATGTTATAAAAAGGGAATGTTGCCAAAACAAAAGATAAAGCTTAAAATAAGTAAGGTAAAGTAAAAAAGGGAGAATCAATTTGTTTTAAAAAAATTCAAATTGGCAAAGAAAACTGAGAAGAGACAAAGATTAGCTATCCAAAAACAAAATAGCTAAGAGCTAAACTTAGTAAACAAACTGTTTACTAAGGAAATAAAAGGAAATAAAAGTAACCTTAGAAATTACCAAAATGTTAACAAACATTTTAAAAAGTCTAAGGAATATGTAAATTTCAATTCAAAGCATATTTTACTGTGGTTGAAAAAAATGTCAAAAGTCAACTGTATGGGTTAGCCAGTTAGCCAGTTAGCCAGTTAGCTAATTAGCCAGTTAGCCATATGAAAAAGGACGTGATCGCAAACTTAGGATTTCCTATTAAAAAAAAAGACAAACTACACGACCTGTGCGCAATTAATAAATGACTTTTTTGTGTATGTTTCCACAATTCCAGGTCACATCTGTCTACGACCTGTCACTGCCTGTGGAGCAGTGACTGTGTGACATCATAAGCAGTCGACGTTTGACTGACAGCTGCGGAGGGAGGGGGGGGGGGAAGATGGTAAGAAGACGAACTGGAGACAGCAGGGCAGCGGAGCGGGAGAATGTGCTGCTCCAGCCTCGTCCACTTTAGCTTTAGTGACAGCTGAGGCGCGGCGTGTGTCTCAGTGACGGTACCTGTCATGGTAGTCCTCGTGGTAGCTGTCATAGTCCAGGTCCAAGTCAGATCTGCAGGAAAGAGAGAGGAGGACAATGGAAGAGGTTCTTTTTTGTTTTTGTAAAGTATTACTTTACTTTTAGAACATGTTGCTGTAGAAGACGCTGCGGTGTATTTGGAAGTTCCTCCTGTGAACAAAACCTGGAGAAAACCTACACACACCAGGGTAACATGCTAACTCCGAAAAAGCATGTATTAAGACGATGATGATGTTAATTTGATGCAAATTTAACTGTTGGATAGGGAAAATAATATATGCAAGAATATGAATAAAAATAAAAAATTTCCTTGTGTACCACTAGAGAGCGCTCGTGTACTACCGGTGGTACGCGTACCACAGTTTGAGAACCACTGGTTTAAAGTGTTTTTTGTTTTGTTTCCCAGGACAGCTGATTGACAGTGTATTTTTTGTTTCCCAGGACAGCTGATTGACAAGTGTTGACAAACAAACAAAACGTCAACTTTAACAACCCCTCCTGTGTTGACAAACACGTGTTGTTCAGTGCAGGTCGATTTGATGTAGCGGCGTTACACGGTGCAACATCACTTCATCTGGAAAGAACACGGCGTTCATGATCTGCAGCCAGCTGGAAACAGAACGACGCTGTATCTGTGCTGCTGCCACATCAAAGTGGAAAATCCTCAGAAATGGTCCCTCACTCCACCAGCGGCTGCCACCATGAGCTCACTCAGGCGGGCTGTTTACTGCAGACCCTGCATTAGCAGCTGAGTGACATGACGGGGGTGAAACTCCTGCGAATGGATTGTGTGGAAAGGTGGTGCAGCGTGAACCTGCCCAGACAAAATGAGTGACGCTGAGCCCGAGAGAGCGTTCATGTGCAACGGACCTCCATTAGTCACTAATCCTCACCCAGAGTAGCTGTCTCTGACTGTCTCTGCAGAACGTCCACTGCACTGAGTCACCACTGGGAGCGCTGTTTGTCTTTCTTCATATTATCTCTCAGACCTTCTCAGTCTTTAGACTGACCTGAGCCAATCCCAGCTGACTATTATTTATTTACTGCAATTGTTTTTCTTTCTGTTCGTCTATGCCGCAGTGACAGGCTGGACATACAGGTGGCGTACTCTTCCACTAGTTGGCAGCAGATGGCTATAAAAAAACTAAAAGAGAGCAAGAAAGAGAGACTTCAGAGGTGTTGAAGAAGATCTTTGCGTTTCTTTCTTTCTTTCTTTTTCCTGTGAGCATATCAAGGTTGTGTTCAACTAAACAGGGACGGGTTTTACACTGTGTTCGTAAAATGAAACTAGAAGATTTACTCTTGGTGTAAATTTTTTTAAAATTTGAAATGTACCATAAATTTGGACTCAAAATAAGTCTGGAAAGTTGAAAAATTACACTTGATGTTTTAGTTAAAGTGGGACGGCATGAATAATGAAACATAATATGTGTAGTCCCAAAAAACCTTCTCTGATGAACCATGGCGTCTCCACTTAGTAGTTAATTTCATCACTACTTCATCGTTGCTCATCTCTAAAGTTTACCATTGCCTTGATGTCTGTTTTTGGTCTGTTTTTTTATATCTTATGCGCTTGAGTTCTTATGACAAAAACGTCCAGAAAGGTAATGTTCTTTAAAGCAAAGCTCTCTCTGTGACCCTGAAGATGAACATACACACGAGGAGATGGATGAACGCCTCAAGGCGACACCTGGTGGATAAAACAGACAGGTTTTTTTTTTTTGATTAAACTTAAATGAGGTGATTTGACCTTGAAGACCAAACAACTCTGTTTGGACCACAGCACCAAAACAACACGAGTTTCTTTGAGTAAATAAAAGGAGAGCGGAACAAATGGGAAGAGAGTTGAGCAACAACATTATTCTTAAAGTAGTTTTTTTCCTCTTTACTCAGTAATGTCAGCCTGGAGAAAGGAAGAAAATTACAGCGATTTCACCAAAGTTCTCACATCTGAGCTGTTGTTCACAGTCCGTTTGTTTCACACTTTCATTCTCGGGTTAGCCTTCGCCACCGTCTCTGAGGCAGAGTTGACTAAAGTTCACTGAACCTTTTTAACTCTTTAATGTCTGAATATCTATAGTTTATTTGTTAAAAAACTGAATGTTGACTTTTAAGATAAATAAATGTTTATTTGTTTGACAGTGACAGGCAGGTCACAACCAGGCTGCAGAATTGTAAAACGATGTGTGTTTTAGTGACGACAGACGATTGGATGATCAATTAAGACTAGCTGGTGTGTGTGTGTGTGTATTTCTGTGTGTGTGTGTGTGAAAGAGTCAGACAGAGGCAGATGGACAGCAGGGTCACTAAAGGCTAATTAATTTCTATTCATAATTTCTCAAGTGCCAAAGCAATCCATTAGACATGGCTGGCTATAAATCATTTCAGCCTCAGAATGAGCACACGCGTGTGTGTGTGTGTGTGTGTGTGTGTGTGCATTAAACAAGAGCAGGTTCTAGTTTTGTAAAGCACGGCGATTTCTTTAACACAGCGAATTAAACACTTCTTTAAAAAAGATTCATAAAAAAAGAACGTGATGGTTAACTGTTCTGCCAGTAGAGGGCATCGCCACGAGGTTTGTCTTGATGTCATGAGTGGCGTTGGATTTATGTCACAGCCGTTGGAAAAGGTGTAACTTTTGGGACACATCATCAGAGGTGAATCACTTTCAACACTTGACACCCTCGTCAACGAACAGCAGAAAAATATATTTTTTTAAAAATCATCAGATAAAATCATCAGATGGTGTGGAAGTTTATGTGTGTGTGTGTGTGTTGGATAGAGACCTTTTAAGAAGGTAGCTGAAGCAGGTAGGAGATGTAACTGAGGCAAACATCTTGACATGTGAGTCACGGACAGATCTGGTTATTTTTTTAAAAATGAAACATCGTTCATTCAGAATCAGGTAAGATTATAAAATGGAAATAATGTAAGTTGTAATGCGTTCTTTCTGTGCGGCCCGGTAAATGTTGACCCACGAACTGGTGCCGGTCTGCAGCCCGGAGGTTGAGGACCACTGCTCTAGTGGTCATTAAATTTTCTCATAAACAAATAAAATTTTCTGGTTAAAATGTTAGTCAAAGGACAAAGATACATTCTCTTCTGGGGTCTTAGGAACTCCCCCCTCCCCTTCACCCTCGTCTGTCCTTCTTCTCTGTCTTTGTGTGTGGACGTGAGGACAGCATGAAAAAAGAATGAGACAAACTATCAGAAATATGGATCCATTGGCTCAGGGCTTCATTAGATGCCATTTAAATTTAAGTGACTTTCACTGACAATAAATCAAAGTGACATTTTATATGAGGCCCTTGTTTTCTTTATTGCACTCATCTGCCCCAGTCCTGGGTAAAAAAAAAAAAAATCAGTTCACATTATGATCAAACTCCATTAGGGACGAGCCAGACAACAAGTGCAGACAGAATGACTCTGTGACAAACAGCCTGTAGTTTTACTGTCCAATTTTTTTTTTCTCTCTCCACATTCTGACTTTTATACAGGCCACACAGTGGTAGAGTGGTTAGTGCTCATGCCTTACAGCATATGCAATTTAATGTGATAGTGCAATCTGCATCCCATACCTGGGATTTTTAGGGCATTTTTGTGTCATTTTCTTTGATTTCTTCAGATTGTTTGTCTGAAATGTTTTTCGGGGAGAGGTCGATTTTAAGTCAATTTTTAGT